CCAACGAATCAAAAGATCGAACAAAATAAAAAATAGGAATCTGGTGCCTCGGGCCTCTAACAAACATGTCTGATTGTTCCATTTGGTCCGGATGTGATGATTGGACGCGCTCTCCGTCTACCTTCCTGTCTATTTAGTCATGACTAAAAAAATACTGGATTCCTTTTAACAGAAGGTTTAATTTTAAGTCGCAAGGCAGCAGATAAGTAGCAGCTGGAATTTCGCATCTGAACCCAGTGAAGGCTTTTGGTTAATTCATTAAATCATTACCTGACTGCGAGACGGTCTGGTTATTTTTTTTGTACTGGATCAATTTATTTTTTTCGTGATACAACAATATAATAATTGAATTTCAGCCAGCTGTGTCAATTTAGACTTTGAGCCACAATGACTCACTCACAAAGACCCGTCGAGCTCACATTGTGGGTGTGGGCAGACATTCAAAACGAGTCGTAGTAAAGTGGATTGGAGCCAAACAAAGGTTGAGTCATGCAGTTTATGATGAGAGCTGCCGTGCTGTATTCATAAATGTGTCAAACATCAGATGCATTTGGGTTTGGAGTGTAGAGTCATATGTGATGCAGTTATAGATTACATTTAGTTACGATGCATATATATATATATATATATATATATCTTTATTCACTGTACATATCTAATGTTCTGCTTTGTGATTGACAACACTAGTTATCTGCATCATCACCAGAATTCCCTTAAGATGAATTATATCTACAAGACCTGCATCCCCTTACAATACTAACAATTGATTGATTGAATAAATTGCTATTGCATGGTTCCAGACATTTAATTGATGGATTCATTTTGTAGAAGCTTCTCCCCAAAGTGACACACAGTGAGACACAGTCCGAGCCCCAGTAGCTCATAATAGCATCATAATAGAGACCTTTGAGAGAATGACGACACAGGGGAAGAGTTAGGAGTCAGATCCTGCCTCACATACAAGCATTTTCAGTGAATTCACACAGCTGAATGTGTGCGAGTGTTTAGGTGAGCAGGAGGGGAACAAAAGGAGGCCGATGAGCAGTCGGGCGACACAAGCTGGGTTTTGGCAGGTTGAAGACCAGATGTGCGGCTACATTCTGGACACTTTTGGAGTTTTTACTGCAGCCGGAGCAGAACGGCGCCGCGGCGCTCGAGGCCAGAGATGAAGAAGCCTGATTACTGTGATTGCTCAAGACAATGCAAGGCTCCTCTGACGTTTCCTCCAGCGCCACCACGAGGTCGTTACTCGTGGTTTTTAACGACATTTCGTATTGGATGGATTGTCATGGTGTTTGTTCATGTTGTTTAAGTCTCCCTCACTTAGACCAGCTTTATTATTTTAGACATTATCGTCTCAAAATGGGACCTTTAAAGTGAGGTTTATGTGACTCCTTTTCCTTTTGTGGTTTTAAATAGACAGCCAGGGGATTTGTTCTTATCCAAACACTTAATGGCCTACGGAGCGCTGCTATGAATGTTATTTTGTTGAAGTTGTTTTTTGTTAAAGCAATCAGTCATATTGTTTATTACAGGCCAACCTACTTAAAAAATTAAGATGCACTAGAGAAGGCCGGCAAAGATTTCCGTTGAGAAAATCGGTCTAGGAGACAAATCAGATTCACAGCATCTCAATTTGAGGATTGTGGAGTGCTTCTGTGTATTAAACAGACTTTGTGCTTCTGCCTGATAAGACTGGAGTGTTTTTTTCCCCAAACCAATCTTGTCTGCTGCAGCTGGAAAAAGAATATAGATTAAAAAAAATGTCAAATGTTCTTCTCCTTCAAGACGTCTGCATTTGGCCCTCGAGTCTCTCGACATCATGTCATATCTGACGGACCCGGTCCTTTTTCCCGCTTTTATTATTAATTCAAAGAGTGTGATTCTCTTTCCGCTGCACTTCACGCCGGGCCGACCGCACGCGTTCACCTCTTGCACACATGAGCACAAAGGCACCTGTGCGAGGCCCGGGCTCTGTGTGGGAGAGCAAATGTGTCTGTTCCCACGACAACAGGAGATAATAGAGTCATTATAGCAGGACAAACAGATAACAAAGTGCAGCGCTGCCGCGGCAAACCAAACATCCCGAAGACCACGCCGAAGAAATGCTCCCACTGAGTCGGGAAGCAGCTGAATTATAAGCCAAGATCTCCATTTACTTTTTAAGGGTTTAGAGCAAAGCCCAAACTGAACGAGCTTCATGAAGAAATGGCCTCATTGTCTTTCATCCATTCACGATGTCGTGGATGATTACCTGTAAGCGGTAACACCTGCCTCTGCAGGTCAGTTCACTCTAAAACCCTGTTAATCATCCCGAGTAAATCGCCTTGGGAATGTAAGGACGCTAATGAAACGCAAGAGCCGGAGTGACATCTGCGTGGGCGGCGTTTCCCTGCTCGTGGTTTCATCCTTTTAATACACGGCTCTCGCGACCTCCTGTGTCAGCATCATCACTTGAAGCTCCAGACTGTGGGAATCAAAATGCCATAAAGCGCCGTTACGCGGGCACTGAGCCGCTCGGCCGTCCGGGTTTAAGGCCAAAAAGAGGAGCGCTAATCTGATATGACTATACGTGTGAGCTCGGTGACCCTTCAGCCGGCAGCTGTGGAATCGATACCTAATACACTCCAGTCCGACCGCAGACGGGAGAAGCCTTCGAAACCAAACCGTTACAACAATGCAAACAGTCCGCAGTTCAAATGATGTCTTTTGTGTGTAACACATGATGTCCGTGGATCATCCACAGTCTGTGTGCACGGGCAAAACAAATCAAATGAAAGTTGTCATTTCTTCACAGTTGCCACCGTGAGACGTTACGTCCTAATTACTGCGCAAGAACAAATTGAAGCAATCACAATCAATATCAATTCATTTGCTAATTTTGAGAAAGCATGGAAGAAGACGGATGTCTGGCTGGAGTGCAAATCTGTGCTCACACGTAATTGAGATTGACTGACATATTCGGGATGCCACAATCGTTGCTGCGTTTTTGCACATGATGTCCACTTTTGACCCAAATTGTTTTTTCCCCAAGCAGCATGCAGAGGTTCCCAAAATATCTCTTTATCACACGTAGAAAAGAGCAAAGTCTCTCCAGCTACAGATGCACTTCATATTCAGCTGGTCTGTCGCATCTACACTCTGTGCTGTACTGGAGAGAAGGGAAGATTGTGTCTGTGTGTGTGTGTGTGTGTGTGTGTGTGTGTGTGTGTGTGTGTGTGTGTGTTTGCAAATAATGTGCAAGATGCACTTTTTGTCAGAGGAGCTGAATGAGCTCATCTGTTGTCAGCACACAGCGAGCTGCTGCTGACCTGCAGCTGATCGTTAAACTTCACTGACTCTGCATGTTTTCCTGCATTTATATATTCTATATTTTACAAAGCATGTTTTTTTCTGCAGGCTCACTGGGTGAGATCGGGACTTACTCGACATACTGTATAATTTCCACCACACAGTTTTTGTGTCAGCAGTTTGTTGTTGTTGTTTTTTGGTCATTTGACTTTTACCTGTTGAGTTTCAGCCTCAGGGTCTTCATCTTCAACGTTATAACTTCCATTATAAAATCTGTGACGAATATTATGTTAAATGGTGATATTTATTTGTAACTGAGCTGTTTTTTTCTTCTCTCTTCTCTTTCAAAAACCCTTTTCAAAAGGACTGTGTTTTATAAATTAGGTCCGGTAACATTGGAAAAGCGAAAGAAGAGCAGCACAATGTACTTATTTTATTCCGATACCAGATTTGCGTCCCAGGGGAACTGCTAAATGGTCCTCTGTGTTCACTACTTTGTCACTGACTTGTCAGCCACGCCAACCAGGAAGCACACAGAAGGTTTGTCTGTTTGCTGAAAACAGCTCACTTGGAAAAGGGGTTGATGAGAGATGAGTTTACGGCTGACAAAACCAAATCAAAGAGCCACGAGAAGATAGAACGTTTTTAGATTAATGTCCCCTTTCACGCCAGGAATTAGTAATTTCCCCCATTCTCGAAAAAAAAAGAAATACTCACAGTTCAGCTTCAACGAATTCAATCAAAAAACAAACTCATACGTTCAGGATGAAATCAGTAAATATCAAATCCTTAAATCAACCTTTTAGAACTTAATGAAGAGTTATCTCGATAAAACCTCTGGTCGCTAACACACACAAACCCTTCGTGCAAATAGAAGGAAGATAGCTAGAGTCCTTTTTTTAAATGTATAACTAAACACAGGCCCGAGTGGGCGGAGAGCCTTCTGGGAAAACACAGAATCAATATTTGAGAGTGCAAAACTCCCAACTCGCTCAGGACGGATCTAGAATAAATAAATACATAAAACATGCATTAGACCAAAAATATTCCGTCTCCTTTTGGGAAGCAGTGGAAGTGATACACATGCCAACAGATGGTGGGTGTTTCTTGGCCATGATGTTTGATACTCTCAGTATAGAATGTGGTAAAAGAACGATAATTGATACCACACTCTTTTTTTCCAGCCTTGCATATTCGAGAGAAATTGGCTCCATTCATCCTCTAATCTCCTGCAAAAATGGTTTATATTGCATTTTCCAAATTAAATCTAATGTATGGATCCTATTGTTAGCGCCGCAGGCTGCTTTTCAGAAGTCTGTTTGCGTGTGAGTCAGCAGTTTGTGTTCTAAAGATAAAGTTCAATTAAGCTAAAAGCTCCATTGGCTCCCTCATGACTCCCGTCCAATCCTTCCTCCAAACTCCTCCACCTCACCGGAAAAAGCCTGACAAGGGCCGCCGCCGCCGCCCCACCCGCCACCATCTTTGAGCCCAAACGAGATTAATGAGCGGACACACTTTTGAGGCCCATTCAATACCCATTTTGGCAGCGCTCGAAGACTCTTAGGAAGATTTCTTGCTTGGTCATGTTTGTAACCAAACGCTGATCTGGGGCTTTTGGAGTGGCGCGGGAGGGTCGGCGGGGCGGTTGATTCACAAGCGTCTTCCCACGTCACTAATGCCGTCTGTCTGTCTGTCTGCTCTCTTCTCAGGCTATGGGCACGCGGCGCCGGGGACCGACGCCGGCAAGGCCTTCTGCATGTTTTACGCCGTGCTGGGAATCCCTCTGACCCTGGTCATGTTCCAGAGTCTGGGCGAGCGGATGAACACGTTTGTCAAGTACCTCCTGAAGCGAATCAAGAAGTGCTGCGGCATGAGCATCACCGACGTGTCCATGGAGAACATGGTGACCGTGGGGTTCTTCTCCTGCATCGGCACGCTGTGCATCGGCGCCGCCGCCTTCTCCCATTACGAGGACTGGAGCTTCTTCCAGTCTTATTATTACTGCTTTATCACATTAACAACTATAGGCTTTGGGGACTTTGTGGCCCTTCAAAAGAACCGGGCCCTCCAGAAGAAGCCCCTGTACGTGGCCTTTAGCTTCATGTACATCCTGGTGGGCCTGACGGTCATCGGGGCCTTCCTCAACCTGGTGGTCCTCCGCTTCCTCACCATGAACAGCGAGGACGAGCGGCGCGACGCCGAGGAACGGGCCTCGCTGGCCGGCAACCGGAGCAGCATGATCATCCACATCCAGGACGAGTCGCTGCAGCGGGGCCGGCGGGGGCGCAAGCCGTACCGGCCGGAGGTGAGCGACCTGCAGTCGGTGTGCTCCTGCATGCACTACCGCTCGCGTGACTTCGGCAGCTCCGGGGGGGGGATGGGAGGCCTCGGCTGCGCCTTCTCCCACCAGAACTCCTTCAGCTCGCAGCTGAATCCCAATCAGTACTTTCACTCGGTTTCTTACCGGATCGAGGAGATCTCGCCCAGCACCTTGAAAAACAGCTTCTTCCCCTCGCCCATGAGCTCGGTGTCGCCGGGCCTCCACAGCTTCACCGACAGTCACCAGCTCATGAGGAGAAGAAAATCCATCTGAACCGATGAGGTTCCATGTTTTATACACGCGGTCAGACATTTCCAACAATGCTCCTTATCATATCTTGTTTCAGCACTTTTTGTCCTCTTTCTGTTCTGGTGGTGTGTAATATACAAAAGTGTTCTTGGGGAAGGGATGAAGAACTGTGCGGAACAGCGTGGACACAACGGGACGCAAAGCATGAAGCATGGATGTCTATTTTTTCATGGGATTGCTCTATTTACAGACAAGAAGAACTTCCTCATTTCAGATCGACGGTACAAAATTGATATATTAACTTTGGTTTCATACCAAATGATGTACACTAAGGGAAATGCTATTTTTCAAAGGGGAGTTAGCTCGTTTCACCTTAACTTTATGTACTATCCCTATGCCTCACTGCAGACAGAGATTCTCAAATGACTAAAAGCATCAGGTATTGTTTTCTATAAGCGATCATATATCTCAATGGTTTCACCATGCATCAAGCCAAAATATCGTTGCCAATATTAGCATGTGCATTAGATGTCGCTTACTGAGTGTGCCATTATTTTGCGACATTCATCAGTCGGTTTATTGAACAGCAGAATGAAGGTTGAACTCAAAGGATCATGCTGCTGTTATTAACGTGTTCCCTCCCCGAGAAGCAGATTTCACCCACGGCCTTTTTTCGTAATTAGATTTCAAACTGACCTGGAGGAAAATCCAACACCCGAACTACACATTTAAATAGATTTGTGTTTGAACACGTTACAATCGTGTTGAATATTAACCATGTCCAAGTGCAACAAAGTTCAGCTTAAGGGCTAACTCCATTATAAGGGAGGCAGATGGACCTGTTTCTTAATTTACAGGTAATTTATTAAAAAGAAAAGAATGCAATGAAGCTCAAAAGATACCGGAGCCTACAATGACACCCCACACCTCCATTTTTCATCACTTTTATTCAAATATTTAATGTTCACACACGAGTCGCCACAGAGTGAGCTGAATGTGTAGAATCGGTGAAATGACCCTTTAAGGGCCCGGTAGCGTCACAGGTTCACTTTTGATTGGCCTCAAGATATTTTTAGAAGCATTCTTTGACACTTAGTTCGAACTGATGGGCCTTTTAAGAGGAATGTGATCTTGTTGGTTGCTGGGAAATGATTAAAATGACAACATGAAACAGTTTTGACCTCCAGTTACCAAAGTGCAATTATGTGTTGCCAGCTGAATTCATGAGCAGTGCCACTTTTAATCAAAGGACATGCATGATTATGCCTCCAAGTCCTGCGCGGTACACAATGCATGTCTGTGGCTGCTGACCCCGGGTCTGCTGATGAACCCTATTCAGATCTAAAAGTGCCAAGAAGCAGAACGGTTAACAGTGACGCAAAGTCTCCACATCTAACCGGACCTTTCTTGACGTTTTAATGCACTTGCGAGGCTTTAGGGAAACACAACCCCATAAAGACATCAGGAAGGAGAAGCAGGAATGGTGCGTTGATATGACGGGACAGCTGAAGATACCGGAGAAAAACACTTAAAAACATCAGTGTGATCCTTTCACTTTAAAATATCAGAAGTAAAAGCATTATGAAACATGTTTCATGTTTGAAAGAAGTGCATGAACTTTGTATGATGAATTGGGAAATCATTTCGTAATAACTTCTAAAGTATTTGGATGGCGAATAGTCTTAAGAATAATTTACAACACAATCTGTTTCTTTTGCCAAAGTGCAGCAGTTCTTAAAGGGAAACACTTTATGTAATTGATTATTTTTTCATTCAAACAAACTGTACAATAATGTTTCTTTCTCAGGTTTGAATGAATCGCCTTTTATCGGCTCGGCTCCCGTAACAATCCCGAAAGTGCAAGCGCAACGGCCAACTATTACGATGTACATATCAAATCCTCATTTCCGAATAGTAGGAATTCTCTGAGCAATGCGGCTGAGATGCATCATCTCGCTGAGGCCTGCGCTGCGTCTCATGCACCAGGAGTCAGTTTGCATTAAAGGCGTCATTTGAGACAGCGCTGGGAAACATTTGGGCATTTCATGGTATTTCTTTTGATTATAGGACCTTTCGTTGAAGCCCGATGCTCCTTTTCTGTCACAAATAATAAAACAAAACTCTCACTATAACTGAGCTCTGAAATTAGGCGGGATTAAAGCGCCACTGATTTCCTAAAGGCCTTTTAAGCTGTAAATGTGCATTTAAATATAAATAATTGGTAAACACTTTTTAAAGTTTCACAGGGCTGGGAGTGATTCCCTCAGCAAGTTCCATCCTTCAAAATTAATGTTTGTACAGAGACACCGAACACCACCTTTCTGGAGCTTTTCGAGAATCCTTTGCTGCCAAGTGCCAACTTATATTCATTTCCTGGGCGGCTGAGCAAACCCGCCTCTGTTTGGGTAGATGGTGAAACGCCGTGGATCCTTTTCCACTCGAGACAAGCGTAACCAGAGACGAGCCCTAGAAGCACCGGCTTACCTAAATATCCTGTACAATATGTTTATAACGACCTTTGGAATAAAAGAAAATGCCTTTTCGCGGCTGAGACGCATATGTATTTTTACACATTAGCATACGTGCCTTGAAGAAACAGCAGCCAGTGTTTCTGTTAAAGTAGGCACATTTAAATGCAGCGGATCTGTTTGTGCTTTAGCAAACCACACGGACGGTCATGGAGGTCTGAAGCGGGGATGTGGTGCAGACAGAGCTGTGTTCATACGGCGGGGGGTCAACTTCTGATCAGAGCATCCGTTAAAGGGGTCAGTGAAGGCCAGTAGTCCATATGTGACCATGTTGGAAGTGCCCACGTACGCAGCCGCCGCCGAATCGGACTGAATCCCTCTTTACTTTTGAAAGAAATAATTATTCTTTGGCAGCTTAAACGATAGTTCCAGTGAATTGCAAATTGTTGGCTTTCTTTTCATAGTCTTTGCCAGCACTCCTGTCAGTAACAGTAATATTGTTCCGACCGAGGTAAATGGCTGAGATTTTGGAATGCAGCAGCATTGATGAAAGAGCAGCCAGATGGCGTAAGGGACAAAGAGGGCAGACAGGTTTGAAGTTCATGCTTGTAACATTCCATCGAAAAAGTCCAAATGAAAATGCAAAAACTAACAATTAGTTCATCCTACTTGCAAATGTTGCAAACAATTTAAAACAGGCGAAGGCACCACACCCTGATTGTTAAACTGAACTTCATTTAAAGTAGATCTCACATCCCAAATTCTGCCTCTGTGAAATACTACTAGAGCACCACATTACGCACCAGATTGAAGATGACACAATCAAACAAACGGCCACGCCACATAAACACTTTGAGAAAAAACATTTTTGTTTTTCTTTTGTTATTTTTGTCCAGGTTAGGGTTAGAGGGGTAGGGTTTGAGGGTTAGAGGGTTTTAGGGTTAGGGTTAGAGGGTTAGGGTTTGAGGGTTAGGGTTAGAGAGGTAGGGTTAGAGGGTTTTAGGGGTAGGGTTTGAGGGTTAGGGTTAGAGGGGTAGGGTCAGAGGGTTTTAGGGGTAGGGTTTGAGCGTTAGGGTTAGACGGGTAGGGTTAGAGGGTTTTAGGGGTAGGGTTTGAGGGTTAGGGTTAGAGGGGTAGGGTTAGAAGGTTAGGGCAGAACAAGCTGGATACACATTTCGTACGTGTTAACCCCATATTTGCTCTCTTCCACCCCCAGAAGAACCACAACGCTAGTTAGTGTAAAGGTTGCCATGCAATGATGTCACTAACTTTAGAACTTTTAACTCCATGAACATGGATTAAACATTCTGACTAAACTAGATGCCTGTTTAACGGTTTGCCTGTTACGATCTTAAACTCTCTCGTAGGGACATCGCAGATGTTCCCGCATCTCAGCCATCACTTTGACCAATGTAATGTTATCAATCGTTACGAACTACGGCAAAAACTGGAATTATCCTTTAAACGTTCCCAATACCGATCGGGCCGATGAAACATCTACCTACGAAAAGTGTCGCCGAGGATGATCGGCGTCATCTACCTTCCATTCAGTTCATAGCCGAACCTTTCCAAGCAGCATTTTGGGGAATGTATCAGCCATAATGGACCTTTATGTTTTTCTAAAACAAAATGAACTCTCTGAATTCTCCCTCCGTGAGCTGCGAGTCGCCGCGTGTCATGTTGATGGTCCTCGACGGAAAAGCCGCTCTGTAACGCGGATGGCGGGGAGAAACCTTTTGGCTTCCTCCCGCGCTTCCCTGGTCACGCTACACCCACCGACACGAGGGCGAATCACCTCCCGACGCCCGTTGGTTGGCTTGTTTCTCTGTGCTCGGCTTCCGGGCGTCACTCACTGCACGCGGAAGTCGTGCGTGTTTTTCCAACAGGGACAAATAGACACAAATTGCACTACTAACCGTATAATGCAACATAGTAGAAAGGCTGTGTTTCATAGATTCTGTTTGTGGAATAGGTTTTTCTGTAGGTCCGAAGAACAAATAATACCGTGTACCGTACTCTTCAGAGGAGACTACATCCCGTCCGCGTGGGTTTATTTTGCGGTCACGTTGGACCGGACCGACGTCTTCTGTCGACCTTTTGGATCCCGTGTCTGTACAGCGACCCCCTGTTTTTTTCGCCACGCAGGGAAGGAGTTGTCGAGAATCGTTGCAGAGTGAGATGAACATTTTACATAACATTTTACATTTGTATGTTTTCTTTTCTTTTGGTGCGCGTGTGCATGATTTGGTGTGGGTGACTCCCTCTCGCACAGCCTGAGTGCAGCCATCACACACTTGAATAAAATGATGAGCCTCCTTCTGAAACCCTCTGTCTTGTTCTAACTGCTTATTATTGCCCATGGGGTTTTACATTGTTAAAAAACAGTTACTATGTCATTATATATTCATTAAATCAAATGTTTTAATTATTTGTAAATGTGCCGTGGGCCATTTCCTCTCAGTTAAAACAGTTTCAAGATCAACAAACTCTATTTGAGTTACTACTATTTGAAGAATTTGTATTTGGACTTAAGAACCTCTTGGGTATATTTAATTTAGACAGCAAAAACTAATGTTATTCTCAAGATCACATCTTTTTGAAGTGAAGGTTTAGAGAAGTGGGGCCTCCCAGCATGTCCGATGAGAGGAGACCGCTGAGATGATGAGAGCATCCGCTGAAGAATACGAACAAGCACTCTGAGCTAAATTAAATCGGCTCAATACAAAATATGTTCTATTTCAGACAATGATCGGATGAGAGTAAAATAATATGAGCTGCAAGACAAAAGCCTGAAGCCTATTTTTCTTCTTTCACTTTATTTTCAAACGCCAAACGAGTCAATTGAAATTCCGGAAATATGCTCCCAGTGGTCGGCTAGCCTAGCTTAGCATAAAGACTCTACCTAGGGGGGGAAACAGCTCGCTTCTCTATTGTCCAGCGATGTTTTTACTAAACAAAACCCAATCAACGCCTAAACTGGCTGGTTCCATCCAGTATTTGTAGAAATACAAACATTGAAAGAAATACAGTGGTCCTATTCTTTGAAATATCAGACTCTCAGGAACAACATTAAACGTCCAATGTAGGTGACTATAGTTTTGAGGTTTTCCTTTTAGTTTAGGTTATAAATGAAGTATGCCACCACGCGTACGACTCATAAAACATTGACTGGGCTTCATACAGGAGATGAAGAGCACCCGAAAGTCTTGTGGTTACTCCCCATTCACACCACGTCAGCTACTCTGATTGTCTAACAACAAAGCGGATGGGTTTACAATAGAGGTATTATGATCCTGGATAAAACCTCCCGCAGCAGCAACATAAGGGACAATTTCACCGACGGAGGATTTCTGCTGTCCAGTCGCCTGCCTTCTTCTCCCCGAGGGGCTCATGCAGTGCAGCTGGATGTTCAGTAGGTGGGAGAACAAGCAGGCAGCATCCCCTTTCTCTCCCTTCCCACACCGCGGTAATTATATGTCAGCCGCGAACGCGCAGGGCCACACAATAAGAACATGGCAGCGGGGCGTAAAGGCCATCTCCTGGCGCCAGGCCTGTAATTTTGCATCTTGAACGATCGTGTAAACGTAGCTAAGTTGTTCTGCAGCCTCCAACGCACCGATGATGTGATGTAGCTCTGCAGTGAGCGCCTGCTGACACGAGAGAACGAGACAAGGGACCGCAAGAGATTTCCAACAGTGCTTCTGCCTGAAAATGGATTATTGCAGGAGGCAAAACTGCCCGCTAATACGAGCGCCGTCCATCGCTTGATAAAAACAGGGGGTTGATGTGGGAGCGATGGAGCCGCATTTTAAAATAAGCTGCTGTCTTGAAGTGATTAAGATCTGCAGGCGATACACGGCACGTCATTGCAATCCCGTCTGTCTGCAGATGCTCGTGCTGAAAACTATCACCTCGGAAGAGATGATAGTTAAAGCTCAACCCCAACAAATTGTGACAGTATTGAGTTTACACCTTTATCCGTCTTGCCAAGGGTTCTCGTTACATCGCCTGCACCAGGCTGGTTTTGGTTTCATAAGGGGAGGCAGCACGACTTTTAAAAAATAGGTATGTGTCACAATAAATGATTTTTCAGCCAAGAGGAAATTCTAGGCACGCATACCCTCACTCAGTGGCAACTGAACGTTTTGGCTTGTAACAGTTGCTTGTGAACCCTGATATCAGCCAGTGGACATGAATCCTGAGCAGTTCAGACAGAAATGAAGGATTTGTATGAGCTTGAGAAAATCATTGTTTTGTGGAGCTGACATTCGATGACCACATCATTTTTGAGGGGGGGGGGATGTCGAAGGGGTTCCAAACAAATCCCAAACGCGCTGCTACGTTGCGGTAGTATTTTATTTGATGAGAAGAATGGTGTTCTGCTGACAGCCTGCTTTGTTCTAAAGACAATGATGATGACACGAACCTCCACCCTTTAACGCTGTAATATGCAAAGGAGGTATGTGGCACCATCTAGTGGCAAAGGCACTGCAGAATGTCTGCTACATTTTTCTTCTTCATAATCACCTGAGCAGCAACTGGCCATTATTTCATGCCATTGCGAAGCTGCACTGCGGACCATGCAAGCAAACGGGCCTTTGCCTCCGTGTGCACGCGGGATGATTAGAGATTCCTGTCCTGCCCTGACACCCTAATCTGCCTAATTACATTAAGGCAGCTAAAACCTTCTCCAACCGCAGTGCCAGTTGCTCATGTGGCACAAACCAAACAAACACACGGACAACGACGAGATAGTTCACCTCTGCTGAAAGAATCTTCTTCAGGCGGGAGATGTTTGTCAAACTTGTGAGTATACGAGACAACACGACCCTAATGTGCCTTGAGCTCCGCTCTAGTGTTTCATTTCTGCACTTATCTAACGGGGAAAAGGAGTTACTGGTATTTACGCTACATTAACAGAGCTTTATGTAACCTTTGGTTTGGCTATAAACAAAGTCAAGGTGCACCGGTTGATGTAATTGCTAATTTGCAGGACTGACTGTCTGAAAAACACGTTTTGGTATCATTTCCTTACTTTATAAAAGATGAATCAGTTGTGACCAATGGCTTCAGTTATGTGTAATAAATCATTTGCAACTATTTTTGTGAATAACCTTAAACTATTGGAAGAGCTGCGGGTTCCCTACAGCTTGTGTCTGTTTTTTAGCTGATCTCACCGACCGACGTCTGTTTGTGCACTCGGGTGCCTTCATTGTCCCCCAGACTTTGCTTGTGGCCCTTTTGAGAGGAAGTACAGTAACATCAGCTCATAACACGCTGCTGTTCTGAATCTTAAAAAGTTTTTCCGTTATCAATAATTTAACCACGGCTTTGCGCAGCGGTTATTCAAAAAGAGGATCTATTTATCTACTGAAAAACAAAGCAGCTAAAGAGATTTGTCAATGCTGCAGTTGCAGAATTAGACACCATTGTGCTTTAAAATCATCAAAACCAAGACTCCCGGGTAGAAACATTATAGTTTCAGTAATATTCATGCGATGTCTCTTTTGTTCAGGGGGGCTCCCCAGCGAGAAGAAATGTTGACCATGCAAAGTTAAAAATACCATGTTGCGTCTGAATGGTCAAAACCTCAGGCTGGCGGCTAAAAATGGCCTCGATTCCAAAACACCTGCCCCCCATTTGTCAGCAACCCGCGGGAGGGAGACGGCGGGTCGGCTTACGGCCTCGCTGCTGCCCACGTCCCCCGGGCCTGACTCCCGGAGGCCCCCCAGACGCCCCCCGAAGCTCGCCCCGCTGGAGCTGCCAGAGGCGGTGAGGGAGTCCCAGAGGCGGAAACTTCAGCTCATCCAGCAGGAGGCCAAACCGGCTTCCTGTCAGCTGGACGCGACGGGGGCCGACACCTGCGCGGGGGAGGTAAAATCCTGCGTGGGACGGAAACCGGAAAAAGCTGCAGGTCGCCCCGCTGCCTCCGCCGAGAGACACGCACCTTCGAGGCCCCGGCCGGCGCGCTCCGTCCCCGCAGAGCACAACGGAGACGAGCTCCTGGAGGACGCGGTGCGTCGAGGTGCCCCAGCGCCGCTGGGCAGCAGGCCCGCCCCACCTTTGCTTGCCCACAGAGCTGGAGCTCGAGCCCCGCGTCCCGTGGAGGTGGCGCGTGAAATCCCCCAGCGCCCCCCAGCAGGGGAAAAGGCGAGGCGGTGGCTGAGGCCGAGGAGATCGCAAGGCCCGGGAGAGGATAAGTGCAATTCACTCACTTCGACCGGGGGATTATCTGCAGATAAAGGCGAGCTGGCCCAAGGTGTCCAAGGCGAAGGGAAGAAGGCAGAGAGGGCTGGAAAAGCCATCAGAGAGCCTCCTGCAGCCCACCGGGAGCGAGGAGGCCGTATCAGGGAAAGCCATCAAGAGGACTGCAGGCAGCCATGTGCTCCGACCGGACAGACGAAGGTGGGAGCGGTGAACATCCGCTCGACGGTGCGAAGCCGAGTGCTTCTAATTGTGGATTAAAGAAGAAAACGTGATCTCAAAGCACAACAGCGCTTTCCCTCTGGAACGTCTCCAACTGTAATTCGATTGGATCTTTCACTTTTGCAGCTCGGGACTTTATTAAATGATGTCATGCTCAGAGATGGTCCGCCAGAAACAGGCTTAACATCCCAGTTTGGCAGCTGATTTATAGTCTAAGTTACTCAGCAGATGAAAAGCCTCATGTGGGAATCAGAAAGGGCTGCTGTATTTATACACTGCTGTACACACACAAACAACGGCAGCAAATGGCTTCGAACAGTTTAATGTGCAATTATTTAATTTCACCAGATTTGACTTCAGAAATGGGCCCATATTGAAATAGCAACGCAGGCAACACATCGCTGGCAGGAAGCCGGATGATTTGGAGTTTGTAGAGCTGACTTTCCCTCGTGTTCCCAAACAACATTTCATAATGACGTGCTCCATAATAACATTTCATGAAAGTGTAGCAGCTCTATCTTGTGCAATTTGTTATTTCCCAAACCTTCTGCCCTAGATAAGACTGTGTAATGATTCAATGCACGGAACAAAGTAAAGCTGCTGGCACATCACAGAGAGTTACATCGGCCAAGATGACCCTCAGAGAAAATAGTTTGGACCGATGAGTTAAACAACAGCCGACAATGACCATCCTTACTTTCATCAGTCAAATGTTACAATGAATGTACAATAATTAAAGACTTTTAACAATATGCAGTGTTTCTGATTGTCATGTTTAAAATATGATACACATCAGGTTGAGGAGCATCATACTTTTAACACTTGAGTATGGATCATATTTTCTATTAGTCTTGTTGCTCAGAGAAAATGTTCTTATTTGTTTTTTGTTTCAGCTGTTACCTATTATACATTTTTCCAGATGTTATCCTGCTGTTTTTTTATCACATCCTGCCCCTCACTGGACTTCTACGTGTTGACCCTTAACCTCACCTACAAGGTAGTTTGTTACACAGAAGAGTTTGATAAGTCTGTTTGACAAGTTTGCAAAAAGGCTGACAAAAAAACAAAAACAAAACACTGGTAATTGGTGGAACTATCTGTCAATCAAACTCTTCAAGAACCCACATCTGGAAAAAAGAAAACATTTTTTCCATTTAGCGTTTTGTGTCGTTTCTTCTTCCCCTTCTCTTGTGAAGAGAAATAACAGATGTTGCTGCAGCATCTTCGCTGACATCTCCAGGAGCCGAACACATCTGGGACAAACTCGCAGCCGCCAGTAGCTGCTTCCTGAAGCCCGACAGGAGGAGGTTTTGTTATGTTTGTGATTTGTTATTTTGATATTTGATTCTTGCATCAGTTTTCCATGAGGCAACATCAGATCCACTATTAACTACGACTCACAAGGAGAAAATACCAACAAGTTGAAGGTTGCAAATTGAAAAGCAAACCTGCCAATTCTTTGAATGAATCCTCGGGGGGGCTGGAGGAACAGCGGCCACTAGCCGGCTGTATTGTAAACCAGTGCAACCAAATTGAGTGAGAGGCACCGAAGGCTAAACGCGGCCGGAAGAGCGCGAGCAGCTGTGTGGTGATTTCTCTCCAGCATTATATGGTTATTATTGTCGCATGCGTAAACTGCTACATCAAAATGCTGAGGCATGGTCTGTCCTGCTGCAACTGTAGTCCACACACGGATGTTTTTTGAAACGTTTCTTTTTCCGTGGGAGGTTGAGAGCTGGCCGTCAATCAGACCACAGATGGCTTTCTCAACGACGACGTGGTGCTCGCAGCTCCTCGCTCACCCTGCGAGCCGCTCACCTCTTCGCCACGAGGCGACAGACGGTTGCTTAGACTGACACCGTGGCTCACGACGTGCATCTGCCCCGAACCATCAGCCCACTTCCCATCCACTTCACACTAGGCCTATACATAGCCCGGCCAGCGCTCGCTTCCCTCGGCTACAAAGGCACTGCAAATGGGCCTGGATGTACTGGCCAACTCGAATATTCACGCTGTTTTTGGAGCGTTTTGGTGCTTTACCAGCTTCTCTGGGATCGCCGGGTTTTTCGAACAGAGCAGAAGCACGCAGTTAGAGCTGTAAAAGGGCTTTAAAGAGGATGGTTCAACCAAGACCTGCTAACGTGAGCATTGTGATGCGGAGGAGGAGGAGGAGAAGCACCTAGTCGGTGTGTTTCCGTCACCGGCATTGTTAAAAAAAAGCATGACACGAGTGATTCAGGTCACTGAGCTTCAAACTTAACACGAGTGAAACAAGCACACGTGTTCTGTAATCATTTCCCCAAACTTAAACACAGCCCCGCCCCGTAAGTGCGCGGCTGGTTGAAGCCGGCGCGGGACCGGGCCCGGCCCACCACCAGCCCCGGGGCGGCTCCGCTGCGGCAAAGGCCGGACGCGTCGGGGCCTTGCCTCGTCTTTGAGGGCAGCGCTTCAGATGGGCGCAGCCATAAAGGAGGGAAAATAAAGGATAAAAATACACAGAGAAAGTTGCGTCTATAATTGGCTGCGCCTCTCTGACTTTCTTTTTTTTTATGGGAGCACAGCCTATAGTCAAGAACAGTGGAAGCCACTTCATCCCCCCCCACCGTTGAAACTCTACACTTTTCCCCTTTCACAGTTCCCTCCCACTATGTCCATCCCGTCCACACGGCTTGGGAAGCTCACCTCTCACATCACTAGTCAACCACCCAGCACGCTGGACTCCCGCCCTGGATTAAATGACCATCTCATTTTGACTTGTGGCAGCTTGGATTATTGTCACCTGATAGCGATGCTGCCTGGGTGCTGATCCAGGGTGTGATCGCTGGAGGCAGAGTGAGAGATCCAGGTAAGAGAGAAAACACCAGTCACCTGTAAAACTCTTGGTTAAAATTCTTTAATCAGTTTTAAATCCACGCGCTGTCGAGATGCTCCACCAGAGAAAATACCTATTTTTTTCTCGGCTTGCACGTGGACAGGACAGCGTTTCCGTTTTTTGGACGTTTGGGAACAACAAACGTGGAGCTTCTGTTTTAGACATCTAGACATTTTAGTCCCAGGTCTACCATTGAGAGAGGAAGTGGAAACAGACACGGACCTCAGGTTCAGATGTGGACAGAGGCGAGCCGGCTTGTTTCTAGCTTTAACTCAGATAACTGCAGATGGATTCAACACAGCACCGAGAGAGAGAGAGAGAGACGCAGTGTATTTAAATGTGATCAGAGATGAAAGAGACACAAATTAGAAAATGTTAGACTCGGGGAAAGAGGATTATGAGCCTGAATCTAAATGATGTTCAGCAGCTTTTCTTTGGGTGCTGAATTTTTTTTATTTCAGTTATTATCTTATCTCGCTGGGCTGAATTTCTCATAGTTTAAATGTTTACTAGTTGGGGCAATTAATGTGATTCAGCTGCCCTATTCTATTAATAGCAGCAGTGAAATCACAGAAAAGGCCCATTTAGAATTAGATAGGCCAAAGCCCTTTGCTTTACCCACAGAGCGTAAAGCAAACTCTTCTGGGTATAAAAGCCAGCCACAGTCAACGGGTTACTTTTAGAAAATTGACCATTTCCTGGAATAATGCTCTGCTCTTTAACTCCAGCATAGTACTTTGACTTCATGACGTGTCCCAGAAGTCCTCCGACCTAAAGAGCCCCAAATGTACTGCAAATATGGCAATACATTTATATTTATTTTAAAAATAAAAACGCGTGGACGCTGTTCTCCTCAGGAGAGTCCAGTAGATCACGGCGAGGCGCTGGGGGACGGTGAAGCGCTTGTCCCGCGTTATTGCTTTCCAAGTTGTGCGTGTCTCAGACTTTTCCTCAAACTCCCCCAGTGACAGCGAGACACTTTCGCGCCAGTGCGACTGGTGTTATGGCTGCGGTCAGTCGCACGGCACCCCCGAGGGGCCGGCGGTGTGCAACAGGAGCAGGAATAGTTGTGTGTTTGCACGTCAGGCTTCTGTCAGGGCCACGCAGGCACGACGGCCTCGTACGCCAACGCACCAGACTGGACTGACCGAAACCCCCCTGCAACATGCCGCTTGATCAAAGCTGCGTTGAGACAATCTTTTGGCCCGGACGGCGTGTTCGGGCTGTAGAGGGGAAGCGTGTTTAAATATCCAGCTTCAGATATCACACCTTGAGAAGGGAGAGCGTCTCCAGCCAGCTTTGATACCAGGAATAGACTGAAATAAGGGACAATAGAAATACTGGACAGTGAGGCGGATGAGAGAGAATTATGTTTTGTTGGAGCCCCAGATTTATTCACACAAAGTTGGTAATGCAATGTGAAACCAGCCTTCCGCTGCTCCCTTCTCAACGTGGAGATGTGGCAGCAGTTGTTTTGGGAGACCTGTTTTTTTCACAGCAATCTCCCTGCGCTACAGGAAGTACACCACGCACTTTGCTTTCACTGTGGGAGCGAAATGATCACAAATCGGCTTTGCCAAAGGACATCTTGGCAAAGGCAACTTCAAAATGCATTTTCACAATAGCTGCCCGCAGTACCTGTTGGAAGAATAATGCATTGTTGTTGATGTTTCCACTGACAATTCCACAGATAAAACATCTTAATGGTGGTAATAAGCTAAATGAGACAGAACCAAACAAAGGCGGAGATGGAATTACGACTGGGATTTAGGATCACGTTGGTCATCTTGGCTTTGGCTCTATCCGGCGAGAGGGTGGAAGCTCAGAGAGCAGGTAAGAAAATCAAATCAAATATTCCATTATTTGAAGCTCATGTTGACCGTTTGTGACCAAACACTCCTGTGTTCCTTCATGGCAGGATGTAAAAACGTCCACTACGACCTGGCGTTCATCTTGGATACCTCTTCCAGCGTTGGGAAAGACAATTTTGAGAAAATCAGGCAATGGGTGGCCAACATTGTGGACTCTTTTGACGTGGCACCAGAGAAGACAAGGGTAGCCGTGGTTCGCTACAGCGACAGACCCACCATCGAGTTCACCCTGGGCAGACACGGGACCCTGGAGGATGTGAAGCAAGCCGCCCGCAACATACGCTACCTGGGGGGAAATACGATGACCGGGGAGGCCATCAACTACACCACCGCCAACATCTTCACCGAGCGGAGCGGGGCCAGGCCGACGGCCAGAGGCGTTCAGAGGGTGGCCATCCTCCTCACGGACGGCCGGAGCCAGGACTACGTCCTGGAGTCCTCCAAGGCGGCCGCCAAGGCCGGCATCAGGATGTTCGCCGTGGGCATCGGGGAGGCGCTGAAGGTGGAGCTGGAGGAGATCGCGGCCGAGCCAAAGAGCGCCCACGTCTTCCACGTGACCGACTTCAACGCCATCGACAAGATCCGAGGCAGGCTGAGGAGGAGGCTGTGCGAGAGTAAGTCGGGCCGTCGGGCGCGCCACATGGCTTCTGTTTGAAGCCTCACCTCGAGGAGCCTGCCTCACCCAGAACGTGCACTCAATCAAATTGCACTCTTATTTTAACCCGTAAGCACTGCATGGACGAAAGACCCTAAACCACAGAACCCCACCCCTAACCACAGAGAGCTGCAGTTCTTTCTTACTGAGAACGAAGCGGGTGACGGGGGGGGCGTTGAGCTCATTGGCTTATAGAAGACAGTTTTCTAACCGAGACGTGTCTGTGGCTTAGCAGCCCATTTAACTGCTGCTTTGGTTTTAGAGGTGTTTAGCACTGGAGAGCCGCTCCCAAGCAAAACCTCGTTGTTTTTTCCACTAGTTCGCAGGGACAGTCCTTCAGCGCATGCACACGGGCGTAGGAAGCATCTTACACAGCCGACGGTTCAGTAGCTGTGAGCAGAAGTGGAGAAATATCTGTGGAAAGTGAACCTTTTCACGGATGCTTTGCACTCCAACACACAAATTCCTCCCTAAAATTAGCCAGACAGGAAAGAAAAGGATGCCATGAGTCTTTGCCACAATCTAAATAGAAAAAAAGACATGATTACATGGTTTAGTGCACAGATGAGCAAAGACAGAACTCCCAAATCTCACTGTAGTCACGCTCTAAATTTGACAAGTCAAAAGTAAACAAGTTTTGATTCAGACTCTGAAAATAATCTTTCAATTTGTAGACTAATAATGCAGGTTATGTGTCCTGAAACATGGTGTGCTTCCAACTTTAGAATAGCGAAGGGCTAAATTTACACAGACAAAACACCACATGTTTTCTTTCTCTAATCTCTGACGTCTCTAAGTATATCAGTGGCCACCACAACTGGCTCGGCGAGCAATGCAAGTTATTTTCACTCAGAAAATTACAGCTCTAATGTTACAAATGGGTCCAGTGCAGCCGCTCCAATGTCCATGTCGAATGTTTTCACCTTTTGATCCAAAGGTTTAAAAAGGCACTCTACTTATTGTGTTCTGCACTGATTCATTAGAGCGCGTGTGGCCCCACAAAACTCTACTATTAAAGCTCCCGTCCTGCAGTGTGTTTAAAAAAGTGCACAGCCATAATGACGGACGGTAGCATGTGTAATACACCCTGAGGCTGTTTCTGGCCTCTGCTCCAAAAAACGCCACACCCATGACAAAAAGTGTAATAACCATGTAACTACTTTGCCTATCTGGGCAATTTATTTCCTGTGGGGATAGAGGGGAACCCGTGTGAGTGTTCTGATGTGTCAAATCAGTTTATGTGTTACTGGTAAAGAAATAAATCAATATATAACACACACAAAAGACCGTTTGAATTATGAGATTTGCATGAAATAAGAAAAAAAGTCCTGTGAAAGATGGAGATACCACATCTAGGTGATAGCCCAATGTGTGGACAGTAACTTTTTACATTGATAGAGTGAGGATTACTACTCTGGGACAGGCTTTTGTGTCTAACGTCATTCAAAAGTGACAAGAAGCAGTGTGAGTCATGCAAGATTGCTGCTGGCATTATTGCACTGCATTAATTCCTTGATTTTGTTCAAAATGTCAAAGCTAAGGGGCATTTACAAGTCAAATCCTGGATGTTTGGCTGAGCGAAATTTGTATCAGCACCTTCCGCTTCGTCTCGGCTTTCTCTTCTCGTTATGCTGTTTTCTTTGTTATCGTGTTGCTTCCCTGAGAAAGGAACATAAGCACCGTCGCATGCAGATTTCATGGACCAATTTGCATATTTTATTCTATAACTTGTTGGAGTATTTTCAAACTGGGTGTGCAATGCTCCTACGTTTGCTGAGGAATCTGTCTGTGACTTTAATTTCCAAAGGCAGGTTTGACATTCCTTCCATTTTAACTCGCTGACGGATTCCTAAATTATAGCTGCAGGGCCACGAGTGCAGGGAGAAGCTTTTACGTGCAAAGTCGCACGGCTGAGCAACAACACCGTTCACTCACAGAACGGTAATCTTTGGTGCACTTGTTGTCTTCATGCACAATTAAAAACCAAATATCTTTCCTGAGATCTTAAAGAGACACTTTTAAAAAGGGCACTCAAGTGCTGACGGTAAAATGACCTGCTTGGATCTTCATATTAAGCGTGTTCTGTGATTTGCATGTAACAGGAAAACAAGTCACGCCGACAGAGATGTGCACATAAAGAACACCTCAAAGGGTAAAAGTGGTCCAACAAGATGGTTTTTATTGCTGTGATTTAAGACAATTGCAGGGTTTAATGGTAAGTGTTTGACAGATACTCAATCTTTTAGGGAAGTTGGAGTCTGTCACTGTGATATTTTTGGCCCCGGATAGTATTTAGGGCTGACAGGCACGACAAGGACAAATTGTTTGGCTGATATTAGGTTTAATGAGACGTTTCTCTGAACAGATTGATTGCAAATCATGACAGGATCCTGCTGCCATATCTAATCAACAATGTGAAAATGTATCTTCCCGTGTGGGTTTAGCGAGGAGGTTCTATTCAAATTAACCTTGTCAGTTGTGAAATTACTGCATGGGATCAAATCAAAGTTGTTTTCAAACAGACTGATTTGTCTTTCCTCTGAAAATACCCCAATTAATTAGTTGAGATAGAATTCTAGCTAGTTAATTTAGATTGACGGGTGTATACAGATAAAAGCCCCCTGATTCCAGCTGTTAAACACATGGAAAAAACATGATTCTCACTTTACTTTTCCATCTGCAGAAATGCAGATAGTTTGGGTTTTAATATAACGGACCAAGTTCACAGAAATGTTGTTAAATCTTTTTCACATCGTGCTCTGAACATGTGCACGATCTCAGCAGGAACCGCAACCTCAGCGGTTCCTCGCGGCGAAATACATTTGTGTGGAAATATATAACTGACGCTGCTCTGTGGGACCATGGAGGGACGTTCTAATCCCCCGGGCTTCACAGAAGCACAGATTGAGGACATGCTGCACTGGCGCTCTGCAGATCACCTTTCAGTCTGGAGGCTGTGATCCCCTCAAACAATTCACCTTTTTCACCTGGACCCTGGTTAAGCGTCAGAATCAACGCTTCCTGTCTCGCGATTCGATTTCCCGACGCGATGGCGTCCAATGGCGTTGACATTTTCCCACCCCGTGCTAGAAGGAGATCATTGTATCCTGATGAACAGCGTGTCTGACTGAACTATTGTCCTCTCTCCTCAGATGTCCTGTGTCCCAACATGAAGGTCCAACCTGATCGGTTTAAGCCCGACAGCAGCAGTTACGGCCTTGAAGAGGTTCCAGGTATGTGCAAACTGCATGCTGGCTTCACTTTCTACAGCATTCAGATTTGATACATGTGGAGAAGTGTTTTCTACAGGCAAAGATTTAGACAGTTTTCACTCAAATCTCCTCTATTTTATTGGAAATTGGTTTTATTCATGATTTGAGAGGTGAGAGGTACTGCTTTACCTCAACATTCATGTTCCGCATTATTTTACAATGGCATTATAAAAACAATACTATATTTGCAAAACTAACAAAACGCTGGCAGACTGGAATTCAAACACATTTTTCTTACTAAATCACAGTTTATTATTTGAGAAACTAATGCTGCTGTGGTTTAGATATATTTAATCTACAGTCTGAAGCCATTGACTTCCAATTTTTAGCCCTTCAAACTCTTGATCAATCACACCAAAAGGTTGGTTCCAAAGTCCCATTTTGGGAAAACCTCACTAATTAACATGGAAATATCTTGTTTTTTTTAAACTGAAAAAAAAAACAGTTTCAAAATCAATGTGTGTAAACATCAAGCTAACTCCCTCCATGAGCATCAAGTCTTTAGGCTAAACTGACGGTTGTTGGTAAAGCTTCACATGGATTGTGTCAATGTTTAAAGGAACACCTCGTGTTCAGGTGTGAGTTCAGCTGTGGAACTGGTCGTCTACTGGGTGAAGCGCTGTACTGGACCTCCACCATTTGACGTCTTGATTTCATAGTCCAAGCTGCTGGTTTAACTTCCTGAGAACTCTTGCACAGTGCTTAACCAGAAAGGTTGGATGTTGTTGTGAGAAAGTCTTTTGGGGGGGATCTGGGTTCCTGTCTGAGTCTCCCACCCACATCCATCACACTGAGAGAAAAAACAGATGCACTGTTTGGACTGCCGACATTGGACTGTGTGGAAAGAGAGATGTCACAGTAGTGGAAGCCGTGTTATAGAAAGCTTGACTCAACAAATTTGTCTGGCATTTATTCACTGGGTAATCTTTCAAAATGGACATTTATCAACAAATCCAACAATCCATCCGTTTGGTTTACCCTCCCGTCCCTTTCAGGCTTGTTAGATTTGGATAATAAGCAGGCACTAGTCACCTGACCACCACAATATTGGCCTGTGCTGTAAACCCTGCAATTGGAATAAATCATTCAAGCTTTGAGCTTTGACCTCTTGTTGAATCGGAATTTTAGGGTGCTGCCTAAGAGCTGCTATAATACCTTTAAATCCCTAGTTGTCGTCGGGGTGTAACTCAACCGCTGTTCAAGAGACCGTTAGTCTGTAACTCTTTTGAGGTCATCAACATATTTGAGTAAAGTGCTTGTTGGGAGGCACGTTAGAGATTCTGCAACAAGAACGAGACAAACTGTATCTTTCCTTACAACATGCAGCTGTACGTTCCCACTTCTAATTACAAACGTCCTCCGCTGCGGCGCACAGAGCGTAACTCTCCGTGAGAAACGTCGGGACCGTCCCGGTCGCTGATTGCCGTTTGACAGCCAAGAGACCTGCGGTTCGAGTCAGACTTGTGTTTATTCGTGGGCTGTCCTGTCTGACCCCTCCGGGGCACGTCTTTGTGGTTCATGCGCTCACTATCGACTGCACGGCCGCCCCCATCTGCTCCGAATGCTGTGTGTCTGTGTGTGTGTGTGTGTGCGCGTTTGCCTTTTCCCAGTCGGTGAACTCATCTGGCGTTTTCCCGCAGATCTCCCCATTGGTTGTTTTCTGGCGGTCCAAAATAACTTTTGGGGTTGATTATATGCTATCTGCTGCCAGTCCAAATTACAGCTCTGTGCTGAGAAGGGCCCCCGCGGCAGCCATAGAAAACGGCGCGGTGACAAGAGAGAGTCGAGGCTCACAGCTGCACTGCTTCCTCGAGCAAACACTTCAGCGGGTACTGATGAGCCGTCCATTAATAGAGCATGTAGCATGTAGCATCGACAAGGCTAAAGTCTCACCACCTCTAAGTTATTACCACCTTTGGACAATAATCCAAGCCTTTTCACAGCAGATTTTGGTAGACCTTCGTTGGTGCTGCTTAGCTTGCCATGTTGTGTTTTTTAAGAAGAATGTGTGTGTCATTTGGGTTTTGAAAAACCTAAAGACGACACAATCAGAGAACTCACGTTCGATACATTTTTAAATCATGCTGGTTCTTCTTCTTAGTGCCTTTGTGGATTTAGTCCTCAAACAGGTGACGATGCTACACAAACTACGCCCCTGATTCCATCACATAGCATGGATGCTAGTTAGACAAAAACAAGGGTTGTCGTGCATTTGAGACAAAGTTGAGACAGCGCCTCCTGCCGACCAGCTGTGGAAGCTGTTGAAGATATGATTGAATTAAATGGCATCTAAAATGTTTCCCCCAAAAGGCTTTTGTTCATGTACAAACCAGCGGAGAGTCTCCCCCCTGTGGTGAGAGCATAACGCTGTTTTGTCAGCGCACGTGAGACCTCGTACTGCCGCGGAGTCGCTGTGACAGACGACCTGGTCCCCCCGGCTATTCGCTCTGTTGTGACGGCTCCTGTTTTTAGGCTTATTTCTCTGCAGCTGATGGCACCGGGGCGGCCTGCCAGTCTTCCCACCTGTTTCAAGGCTATTTCTAATGAAGTCAACGAAGCTTTTGCCAGACTCTCACATTACCGCCTTAATGTTCCCGTTTCCTCTTTGGAAGATTAGTGCACTGGTGCCGATACTTCCTGCGGAAACCTTCTCTTCTCCTGGGTTTTGTTTCATTAGTGAGGCCATGCAGGAATGCGTTGAGGCCGTCCTCATCCTGTCGGCTCACTAATGGCCCGGCGTGCTCGACACACAACCACGCCGGCTAACGTCTCCCTCGGTGGGATCTGCCGGACAAACCGGCAGCCTTGGCGCGTTGGCGTTGCCATAGCTACAGCACTTGTTTTGCCGCACAAGGGAGTGTCCTTTCCAAACCCCTTAAATATGACCTGTGGTCACACACCACTTCAAAATCACACACCGCGGGGGGAAACACACACAAACACGGGCACACACACCCCTCGAGACTTGAGACCTTAATAGAGATGGCAACTACTTTTTTTTTTTTCCCCTCTGGCAATGAATCAAAGAAATGTTGAATTGCCAACAAATGGTTCTAGTTTCCAGCCATTCAGGGATTTTAATCTTCCTCCAAAATAATTACAAACCCAGCGGCTCCAGGGTGTGGTGAGACCCAAAGTACCCGAGAAATGTGACAAAGACATAACTCAACCTCCTTAAGAGGCCGGTGCGCCTCCTTACTTGTGTGTGAGAGGCCGTCATGGGTCCAACTGGGCTGTTTTTCTCTGCTTGCCGCAGGGTTCAACCTGATGGAGTACTTCAACGTGAGAGACGTTCTGGGAACTAAGGAGGACGAAGGGCAAAGTTCTTACGTTCGGCTCGGCACCATGCCCATTGTACAGCAAACAGAGTAAGTGACCACCCAGTTATACTGCAAGCAATAAGCTGCACATGGTCTTCTAAGATACTTTTAAAAGGGGGGATTTAAATTGATGGACTGAGGAACGAAATTAGCTGATGAGCCCCAACTGAATATGTAAAAAACACACAAAATAAGGTGTTCATGCACTTAAAAAAAAACGAAAAAACATCAGAAGATTTGAAACATCACCAGATATATCAGATTTATCATGTTCAAATGTCTATTGATTCATAATGGGTTTGCACATTAAAGTCTAAACTGTACCGTTGACCCGTTGATACACGCCGTAATGCTTTGCTGTTTTTATTCGGCAGGGACGTGTTTCCTCAAGGGTTGCCAGATGAATATGCCTTTGTGACGACATTCAAATTCAGGAAAACCTCAAGACGTGAAGATTGGTACCTGTGGCAGGTTTATGACAAATATGGAATCCCACAGGTGGGTCAGTCAAACGTAAATAGTAATGAAGGTGACCACCACTACATGTGTGGCTGGATTCGGAATAGACAGCTCACTGAAAAACCTTAAAAACCTTAAAAACATAATCACATCACACATATTTTGATATCTGTGGCATCCCTCATGGACGTCACCAAATATTCATCTAAGGTAAAGTAAATGTAGCTAGAAAAAAACCTTGAGTAAATTCCCTAGTGGTGGGATTGCTTCCCTGGACCGGACTGCCCGTTTCTCTTAGTCGTCATCATCTCCCCGCCTCTGTGTCCAGGTGTCCATCCGCCTGGACGGGGAGAACAAGGCGGTGGAGTACAACGCCGTCGGCCTGACAAAAGACGCCGTCAGGGCCGTGTTCAAGAACCACGAGGTTGACAACCTGTTCGACCGCAACTGGCACAAGATCGCCCTGAGTGTGGAGGCCAAGTCCGTGTCTCTGTACCTGGACTGCAAACACATCCAGACTCTGCCCATCGAAGACAGGGAGGACATCGACATCCAGGGGAAGACCGTGATCGGGAAGAGGCTGTACGACAGTGTGCCAATCGATGTGAGCCACCGAGCATTATTAGAGGCTTGTAATGCGTTTCAAACGTCCTAATACCCTCCAGATTGATATGTTGATCAATCGTCTGTTTCCACGCAGTTTGACCTCCAGAGGATGATGATTTACTGTGATTCCAAGCAGGCAGAGCTGGAGACCTGCTGTGATTTACCCAACGGACCTGTGAGTATTTCAGGCACATCTAACTACAGGTTTACAGTTGTGTCAAACTATAGGGACTAATTTAAGCAGTTCGATTTTTAGCCTGAAAACAAACAGATGGATTAACATGAATTTTCTGTTTCTGGCTTTGTTACCTGCTGACAAACAACCAGCCATGAAACTAAAGGCAAAGCAACAAAACTAGAAAGCACAATTATATTTCACTGCGTTCAGTCATTATGTTGAGCCAAGCTAATAACTTTAATAAAATTAGCTTAGTGTCACTCAATTTAAAACTTTGGGTTCCATAAAAAGACTTTTCCCTATAAACCTACATTGGAAAAAATACCTGTATAAATCAGCGGATACGTCCTACCAACTTTCATTAGAATGAACGTGACCCGGCCTCCAGCATTGTACGCACTTCTTATTTTACATCCATGTGCTCTGCTGGCCTTGCTTACCTGCTGTGAGTGTTGATCTTCTCATCATCACCATCTAACTCTGGAAAGTGAAACATTTTCCCAAACATCAAACTATTTTACCTTCAGTCGTCAGTTGGTTCAGCGACATCGCCCGAAGGCCGTTTATTGCTCATCACACGGCATCAACACCACTAGTGCTGTATTCATGTTTGGTTTGACTCACACGTCATTTCAGTGCCCCAAGAAAGTCGTGACAGAGGCCCCCCCCGTGGAAATCCCCGATCCAACACCCACCAGTGTGGAGCAGAAAAAAGGCCCTGAAGTCAACTGTTCGTGCCCTGCTGGAGATAAGGTAAAGCCCCCGGCTTCTAGCAGACTTCATCCCCGTCTATTATTTCCACCGATGAGTGGGAATGGTTTCTTAAATGGCTTTGGCGAGACTTCTGTATTTTCATTTCTCACAGGGAGCGATCGGCGTGCCCGGTGTTGCAGGTCCTAAGGGTGCAAAGGTCAACTACCGTTGCTTTGAACCACTAGTTTGTGTAACGAAAGCTTGCAGCTTTCATCACGGAGCTGTTCTTTTATTTTCTGAACTTACGTTTTTAGGGTGACGCCGGCTCTAAGGGCGCCATCGGAGCTCCGGGAACCAGAGGAGAAAAGGGCGACACTGTATGAAAAATTAAAGTGTGCAGATTTAAAAGTGTGATTTTCCTTTTAATAGAGAGCTTGTAAATGCTCATCGTTATTTTCTGTAGATATACTATGATAGACTCAATTTATCTCAGATTGCATGCCAGCTTTCCAGCTATTATCTCATCTGCTTTTCTTGCTGCCTCGAGAATAATTGATCAATATTGATGAATTATTTGCAGGGCAAAGTAATATCTGTCAAAGGTGACAGAGGCGAGAAGGTAAGTGCACCTGCTCTCCCTGAAGCTGCATGTTTGTCTCCATGCATACATCATATGCATGCACCTCTTGGACGCCATTTTGTAACATCTCCCTTTCTTTTTTCCTCCCTTTCGTTTTGTGTTTTTTTTTTTTCCCTTTTGGCATTTCATATATAACTTTGCTACGTAATGTCTTTTTTCGGTCAGGGAGCGGCTAGGAAAATGCTGAAACAGCTGTGATTGTCCGAATTAGAGGACAGGTTACCGCAGAGGATGTGTAGAAGAGAGGGCGGGCGCACGCAGATGCCCACCGAGTCCGCGCGGCGCTGCCAGCTGGGACTCTCACAGTATAATTTGTCCCTTGAAACTGAATCCTCAGCATGCATCATTCAAGCCGTCCGGAGAGGCACGTTTAAAGTGGCCCCAGGAGGTCTGGCGGCGGAGAGGTGGTCTTTGCACTCGTTTTGTTTCCTTTGGTTGTGATAGTTGTAAAAATGTACCTGTAATTCTTTTGAAAAATGACTACCTAATTTTCACCTGGATATATTAAAAAAGAAATAAGGAGCTTTCAAGCGTTAATTTAAGTTCAGCAAAGCAGTCAGACGGACAGCTCCAGCGAATTTCGTGATAAATAGATTGTAATCTTGTTATTCTTGCTGCTGGAAGCCCCACTGGTTTGAGAGAACTGCATTAAAGAAATCGAACTTTAATGCAGCGCTTCCCTGTTGCTTTCCTATTTCTTTCTCTCTGCACGAGTGTCCATCCTCCCTTCCTGCCGGGGGGGAATTTGATGTGACAAACTCTTCCAAGTTCTGATGCCAAAACAGGACGTAGGCCGGAGCGGTTATGTCGGTCATCGAGTCGCTTAGGGTGAAAGTGAATTAATGCAGCTTTCACTGCTTCTAATTGCATCCTTAGCCGGCAATAACGAGCAATTCCCCGTGTAGCAGTGTTGTTGCAGATAATGTCTTCTTCGTTTTAGGGCGCAGCGGAGCGGGGAGCCTTTCCCCTAATCTCTGTGATGAATGAAATGGCGTGCGTTAACATGATAAACGCTCCTGAAATAATTAAAGGGGCGACCCTCTGCGACTTGTAAAGTGGTTTATGAAGCAGAAGGAAGCCGTGCGGTGGGCCCGACCTCGTGGTACCGTGTAATTTAACTGCTGTTGCTTTCCACTCAGTCCGGCTTTGGAATTCCGAGGGATTCCTCGGAAGCTCAATGCACCGGTGTTTGAACCAAGAGGGCAACACGGTGAAGCCAACGGAGGGTTATTGTGAACAGACCACAGTGGTAGTGGGAATAGGTGGACATGACGACATGATGTTTGCAGATTCTGGCTCTCATTTACTCTCTCTGGGATTTTGTGTTCCTTGAAGTGTGTAACTCTGTGTAATATTAACGCCTATCTTTTTGTCCAAATGTGTGTATCCCTGTTCGAATAATCAAATGCAATTAATTCCTCTCTAACACTGACACATTTGTCCCACATTAACCCTCTAAATCCCCTTCTGTGTGTCTGCCGCGTGGACATTGTGACAGCACGTCTCCCGTCCCGCCGGCCGTCCAGCATGCTAATGGAGGACAGAGCAGTGGAAGTAAATGCGTACCTTCTGTCCACAGGGTGACACAGGCAGAATAGGGTTGACAGGTGCTCCCGGACAGAAAGGAGAGAAGGTGTGGACTTGTGAACCAGGACATGTGGCGGATTTCCCTCAAATGTTGGATGTGAAAAAAGCTCACAGACTCTCACGGTATTCATTTTGCGTTTCCCGTCGTCTGACAGGGGACGGGTGGTGAGCCGGGTATCGATGGCTTATCCGGAGACAAGGGAGACAAAGTAGGTGGTAAATGATTTCAGAAGTCAGTCATGTTTTGCCAAACTAATGTGCTCACCTGAGTGTTTTTGTGTGTAAATAGGGTGAAGGGGGACTGGCAGGGGATCCAGGTCTACCGGGTCTAGCTGGACAAAAGGTGTGTGAATATCGTCTCAGCGATTTAATTGATCTATTTCACAAGCCAGTGCACATACATGGGGGGGGGGGGTCTTTAGTCATTCTGTTATTGGCACTGATCTCAAAGACACATTTTCTTTTCAATGGGCGTGTATTCATTTTTCTGGACAATTACCTCTCAGCCCGTAATCGATTTCCTGTGAAAAAGGGTTAGAAAAAAAAGCCTGTTGATGCTCAGTGATGCCGGCTCATCAGACATCCAGTAAGATGTTCTTCTCAGAAGCATCTAAGACCCAAGAAGAGTTTATATTAATCATACATCTGTTGTTTGGCATCACCAAACACACATGCTAATGTTTGAGCTAAACGCTAGCTGGTTAGCAACGACGTCCCCAGCTGACGTTCTGCTCCCACACTGTTCCAAAGAACAACGGGGATGATAAACAGATTTGCCAGCAGGCTGTTAGCTTGAACTTGGAAGACGTGTGACCTTCATCGTGATAAAGTAAAGTAAGAACCTCTCACAGCAGCTCGGTCTGCTTTTATCAATAACGTTATTGATGACTGAGTTCTATTCAAGTCTCCCAGTGAGCGATTACAGCGTGTCAGTGGGTCTCTCTTTAAAAAGGCACATTAGTTACGTGACAACTAGACATTTCGGCTAAGCCAATGAGGTATTCTCACTGTAATGTACCCTACAGATGGAAAAGTATTATTTGAGATGACCTTTTATTCAAAATAAAATCAAAACTTGGGTGTGTTGGCAAAGAAAGATACCGTAGAAATGGACTCCAGATGACACCAGAAATAAACTGAGGTCAGAGGTCAAAGTTCAAGGCTGTGCCATAGGGAGTCGTGCCACTGACAACTGCTTTTCCGTTTGGGAGGGTGGGGGGGGGTCCTATTTCTCACATGGATTAACCTCTGACTCAGAAGTCCCCCACTCGTTCTAAAGTGTGTCGCTGCAACTTTGAACGAAAGACTTATAAATAAAATGATCAAATGTTGCTTCCCTCAAATCAGGGAATTCAAGGGGATGAAGGAATTCCCGGCACCCCAGGACCGAAAGGTGTCCCTGTGAGTATGATCCGCCGCACTTCGCCAGGTGAATGGTTGAGATCGGACATTGGCGAATGATAAAGTTATTTTTCACGTATCATGTTATGACGTTGCTGCGTTTGGTTGAAGGGCGAATCCGGTGGAAAAGGCGAAAAAGGAATTTCGGGAGACAGGGTAAGTAATCCCTGGTTCTTTGGTATGGATGGATGAAAGGTGGTTTATGGGATGCAAACAGACCACAAACACTGCAGCAGATAAGGGCATCTAGCTCAAAAGTGCTTGAACAAAATCACATTTGCTGGGTTACATGTTGGGTTACATGCTTTCCATGTCCCAGGACTTGAACCAGAGTACGTTAGCTTGAACCTGCACGGAATAGAGATTAAATAGTACCAATCTAGACCACGAGGTTCACTTCTGAGAGAGGCAGTTCTTCTCCGGAGCGGAGAACTGAGGGCGTAATCGTGCAAACAGATGTGGCCTCCTCGATTCCCTCTCCACGCTTCCTGTCTGGGATCCTGTGGGGGCGTCTGGCAGTAATTCAGCTCATTCAGGCCTGTAGAAGCTTTGTTGATGTCTGAAGGTCCCTCCGAGCTGTAAACACCTCCCTCCTTTGGCCATCCTAATGGTGTTAGAATGCAAGTCAAATTTCTAATAAATCAGTGCTTCTCTTCCAAGCGGCACAAAACGTTTTAGAGATGTTTTGGTCATCACTATTTCAGTCACTGAATTACGATGTGAGAAAGTTGAGTTACTTTTCCATCATGCTGAGATACAACCTGTACAAGGGGTCCGTGTGAAGCTTGAAACACGGAGTACTTACACTCAGTACTTAACCATACGGTACGAGGATGTGCAGCAGGTTCAGGGCGCACCGAAGCTCCATTCAGTCATACTGCTGCCGGGTTCAGAGCTGTCACTCAGCCATCACTCCGTCAGTAAGCCATTTCCTGTAGGTGAACACTGGAAAAGTACTTGTGTCAGTAAAGCGAATCAGGGGATAAGTGGTTCAGGGCTCAGGGGATCGTTTAATCACATTTTTTCAGCTTTGATTGAAATATTTCAACATTGAATCCATTTATAAATCCTTTTATTGTCTTCAAGCGTTAGTGGTATTTTTTCTGAGCGCCTTCCTCTGCTCTCCCATTTTAGGGTGGGGCAGGTTTCGACGGATTACCTGGCAAACCCGGTGCTCCTGGGAAGGATGTAGGTGCTAATCCTCTATTTAAGATGCGCAGAGGTCAATCTGTGACATGTTTTGTGAGTCACCTTCGTAGTAATGAACCTTTTGTCTGAAACCAACAAGGGCTTGAGAGGACTGGTCGGCGCATCCGGACCCAGCGGAGTCAAAGGCATCAAGGTGTGTTCCCCCACCTGGTCACTCCATTTTCCAAGCTACTGTCGGTTCCCTCCAGCCTCCGTCTCCTCTGTGCCCGCTCGTTTGTCTGAGAAAATGAAATGCGTTGAGTTTGTTTGTGGGTCTTTCATTACTGACTTCGTCTCCGTGCTTCTGCCACGCACAGCAAACGGCATTGGCTCTTCACGCACACGTTTCACTTCCCTTCGGGCCACGACGGCTTCATGAACTATGATTATTGCTGTGTGATCACCACGTTGCCCTCGGTGCTTCATACCATGAAAAGCCTCTTGATTCTAATGACAGGGTTTTCCTCTTTGTTGTGTGAACTTGGTCACAGGGGGAGAGAGGCCTTCCCGGATTACCTGGGGATGTGGTGAGTGCCAGAAATAGACCCAAAAGGAGAAGGAATTACAGGCTTGTTCAGCGATGACATAATGGAGGTATTGTTGCTCGGATCTAACCAGGTAATGGTGGAATAGATGGAGCTGCCGACCACGTGCTTTAACTGTAAGCGCACATCTAGAGGGAGCCGCAGACAGACAGAACAACCGATCAACCTACCCGATCGACAGGCATCTATCTTGAATTGAATTATCAATCAAAGTCATTTTAAGGAAGATTTGCCAGTGGCAGCTGCTTGAATGTGATTCCCTTCTTGGATGAAGGATGACTTTGTGTTTTGACCTTTCGGCAGGATAACGGTCCAGTTCTCTCTTTTTGTTATCTTTTAATTAAAACATTTCTTTCACAAATAGTAAGAGGATTATTTCACATTGAAAATGGCATTATATATCCCTATAAAGCACAGACAAAACACATTGTTGAATTATTTTTATTCTCTTCAGTAGAAACAGGTGCAATACTTTTAGCAATTATCTTTTCTCAATAAAACTGCAGAGGATAAAACTTGTTTGTATGTTACCTTTTAATAATAATTGCCAGTTTCAATGTCCATGCCCTCAATTTACCCCCATGATTGGTCGGTGGCAGCACAAGCAATCTGTCAATGATTTGATTTAGAAATATCTTGTCTTTTAATTTCAGTTTCAAAAAGAAGGCTTACGGGGTGAAAAGGTGAGTAATCATTCAATAACCAAATAATTAAACATGTTCATGCCGAGGAATCTAAAGACTAATAGACTACCTTAAACAGACCAAATGAACACGCTACCATTGTGTACCTTTGTGTAACAGATCCAAAGAGCAATAGAAGGTGTATTATGGAGTATAAATAACGCGTTTCACCCGTTTCAGGGGGATGCTGGACCTCCTGGGCCTCCAGGGCCCGGGGGCCCCGAGGGGCCTCAAGTAAGGATCATAATTTATTATGTTTGGTCATTTTCTGTGGTGGAAGAGCCGCCTGTTCAATGGTGGTGCAGAGCAGTTTGTGCCGCTTTCATTGTATCTGACGGTTTCGTTCTTCAGGGTCCTCAGGGTCTACAGGGACTTCGTGGGGAACCTGGAGAGAGGGTAAGAATCTATTAAGCTCTTGCTTATTTCACTACTTGGACCTAAACTATGCTTACTCCTCAGCTTAGAGTACGTCATTATTCAAATACCTGGACATGTTGCTTGCTTTCTGACAATTCTGGGACTGTTCATATCTTTCTTTTTCTGGAAGCAAAACTGTTCTGGAGGTAAAACACATTTTTGGGGTTGAGTTATATCATAAGGCAAAAGCAGAGCGAGTGGTAATTCATCCTTGTTCCTTTTCATTCATGCACCTTACATTCGCGATCAAAGTAAATTGCCGGAACCATTAACATGTACCATTTACTTCATAATGCTGCATCTGGGACTTTGCTTGATGTGACTCAGTGTGCGCACAAATCAAGGCCAGTTTCTCCGGTCAGTAGACCTTCACACCAACTATCGCGTATCGTAGAAAAGCTGACAGAAGGAACACATGGACGCTCAGTTCCTGGCAAGAAAGTTCCTAACCCTAAATAAAAAGCAGCTTCCTGCCCCTCTGCCAAATAGGGCTGTGTCACATGATTATGAGGTAAAATGAAAAAGTTACGCCCATTCTGTTTCATGCTTTTAGGATCACATTAAATGCTCTTGCAATCTCTCTCTTAAAGTAAAATTTAACATTAAATCATTGATTTCGACAAACAGAATTTGGGGTTCTTTTGTTTACCAAAAGGAAAAGTTAGCGAAGAATTTCTGGAATATTCAGACATTAAAGGAAAGTTTGATTGGTTTAATCTGGAAAATAAGTCAACAGGCCCATAAAGCACAAGATGCAATGTGTCTGTTTTATTCACCTCCTTTGCTTCATGTATCCTCCATCCTTCCATAATCGTAGAGGTGGAGAGCGCTGCAGGATACGATGGTTTCAATGCTGAGGCTTCAACTTACAAACAACGGAGCCGTCCCCCGCGTGGCGAGCTTACAAGCACAAAGTGAACAACAACACGACAATGTAAAGCCTCGAACGGCCTCTGTGCGCTCCGTAAACATTTGCTTCAAACGCGACAATTCTAATTTCCAGGGGATTAAACGGTAAAGAACACATTCATATTTATATTTTACTCCAGTTCGATAGAACCTCATGAATGCTAAACACTGTTCTTTAACCAAAAGGCCGTTGACGCGTAAGCTAAACCACAGCCAGGACTCAGGATGAGCGCTTTCTCTGGAAGCAATTATGTTTCACATCAAAATATAATTAAAAAAGCATGAGCATGGTTTGCATGGCAAGTGAATTCTTTTGTAATATTTTAAAACAATGACTATTTTCTGTAATCACAATAAACCAAACCTTCTAATGTTGAACAAAACAGGCTTAACTCGTGGTTGGGAGTTTACACTGTGCTCCCATAACTGCATTTATCACGTTCCAATGGGATTATGTAGAATGAAAAAAAACGATTTATTGTTGATGCTAATGAGAGCTGATAATGTAGCTGTTATCAGTGCTCGTACAAGTACGTACAAAACGAGTCCCCCCGTCTCTCTCATATTGATGTTTCACTCTCTCTTCTGTCCATTTTGGTCCATCCACAAGCAAAGTTTAATTAAAACAGGCACAGTAGTTTAACATGATTTGTTCCATCCAAAACATTAACAAAGATAGTGACCTCCATTCCCCGTCTCCACTGGGAGCAATTAACTTCTCATTAGCGTTATGGTGGAATCAACATGTGCAGCTGCTCCGCCGGGCACCAGAGACGAGGCAAACTCCCCTGGATCTTAATAAAAAATACTTTTCTACTTCCAGCATGCACTTTGTCCTCAGGCGGTAATTTCAAAGATTATTTGAGAGCGAGGGATTTATATTTTATTGATATGAATAAAGCAATCACATTGGGTTCAGATTCCACAATATCTAGCCCGTCATATCTCCTGTGCAGCTCTGGAGGTCCAATGCTGACGCAGTTTTACAGCCACTTGCATGCTCTCCAAGAGAATCCAAAAGAAAAAAATAGGATAAAACAAAAAAAAACCACATGGTGAGGAGCATGACCTATTTTCTTGGGGTTTATTGTCGTTGTAGCTCATCTGAAGATGCAGCAGGAGAGAGTGTGAGTGGGGGGAAGGTCGGCTGAGAGCTGTGATAATAGGATGGTCTCCACTGCTGAGAGCACTGATAGAGTTGGCTGTATGGTTGATTTGGTACAGATTGAGTCACTTTCACCTCGGCTGCAGCAAAGCTCTCATCAGTTGTGTGTGCCACCGCTTCTGAGGCCCTTTATATTCATCTCTATCCTGATAAGACAGCTGGGGGCTGCCCGAGCTGGAATGGGAATGGGAGGAACACCATCGAGAAACATTCTAAAGGAAAAAATATTAAAAAGATGTAGCCAGGACATTTGTATGGGACCTTTGTTTAAGAAAATTAAAATCGACAATATATTTCTCTTTAGAGTCCTGTAGTTTTGCTGTTCTACCTACAAATCTACATACACACCTTCGCCAATTTCACGTGTAGCTCAGATAGAGAAACACATTTCTATCAAAATGGGCGGCAGCACACGACGGAACGAGAAAAGTTTCGAGGGGACACAAAAAAGCGATGCACACATGGACTTGAATTTCCTGAAAATAAACAATGCTAAAATAAACTATATTTGTTTAAATAAAGAAAAATTACATTTAACATAATGCTCTAACACCGTTGAAGAATTACCAACTTCAATAACTTCATTAACTAAAAGCCATGGCAACAATAACCGTTTGTGTCACTTTTTAATGTCCCCTTGAAACATCTGGATAGTGTATGTTCATATGTTTATCCAAATGCTGATCACATGTTGTTAAATTGTTTGCGTTTTTTGTATCTTTGTATGTGTTTTCTTAATTGTGCGTTGAGTGATATCATATGAAACTAGCCGAAACACATGAACTGGAACTCACTGCAAGCTAAACTACCCATCTTAAACTAGTTAACTAGCTAATGTTAGCTAACTAGTAGAAAACATTTAACCTTAGTTTAACGTTAAACAAGTAATTTTAGTTTAAGCGTTGGCTAGCTGTGGTCATCACACCGGCTAGTTAAGCTAGCTTTCACTTCATGTGATGCTAATGGGAGTCGTTAGCTGTATCTTGCGCCGTTTGAATTGTACAATTAATATAGCATGGTCTTTATTATATATGAAAAATGAATCAAAATATATTCGTCTAGTATTAATTAATATTAACCTAAATTAATTATTGTTGTGTTATTAGAACAGTTTATGCAGTTAGCGTTATAACGTTATATAGATAGATAACGTTACTTAACCTTAGATCTAGGCGAGATGTAAAAGTAATGTTGGGGTTTTAAAGAAAATACATACATATATATTTTGCATTGGTCAAAGACAATGAGACCATGGAAGGGTTTAAAAATATGTTTTAAAAACCTTTCACTGCCTAACCTCCCAGCATAGAACACAGAAAGATAAATTGGTCATGAGTAGTATTGGCTCTGAAAACAGATCATGTTTTGTGTTAACTGGCTTTTGATTTGTCTTTCAGGGAAAGAAAGGAGATGCTGGATTCCATGGAGTGGACGGACTTCCTGGATCCGCTGTAAGAACAATTTCAGTGTAATGATGAGTGGCATGTTCATGTAAGTTAGTGTGTAGGTTGCTCAACATTTGATGTGATCCACAAAGCGCAGAATTACAGCTCTCTCTCTCAAAGCTATTTTCACTGTTTCTTTTGACAGCAGGAAGAAAAAGAAGCTAAATTCAAACCTTCCTCTCAACATTAGCGTGATACTTCCCTCTAGTGGCGGTTCACTTGTGGTGATCCACCCCTCTGGATTTAGCTATATTTTTTGAATGAACATTTGTAGTGATATTATCTTTGTTTTGCAGGGTCCTCAGGGTCCACCTGGCCCTGCAGGAAGCAAAGGACACACTGGACCTCCTGTAAGTCAGCGGACACACAAATCCAGGCTACGATCGATGTTAAAATATATAAGTTACATTGTGCCGGCCGCAGATTAATGAACAGCCTTTTTCTGTGTGAAGGGTCTGCCTGGTGAAATTGGACGTTCAGGCAAAGAGGGAGAGGCCGGAAAGCCTGTGAGTCTGCATGTTATCCTAAAATTAAAGTAGTTTCAGTCGTCGTTCTCGTCTCTGAATGTCAATCTCTCTTCACTTGATCTTCGAAGGGTCTTCCTGGTAAAGACGGTCTGGACGGTCTTCCTGGAAACGACGGCACTATGGTAAGTATGACATTTAGAATAATTATTTTACTCTCTTTCTTTTTTTAATAAAAATTGACACTTCACAACTCCAATGTGAATAATGGCTTATTATAGAGAGGGAGTCTCTTAGCTGCACAATTTGTGCTCTATGTCGCTTATTAGTGTCCTTCGGGTCATTGTTTGGGTTTCATGGTCTGCAACCGTTTTGGTTCACTTATTGACTCAGTGACGGACATCTGAACTTTATGCTATATAACAATAGACAAAGTGGATCAACAAAAAGTTGTAAGGAAAGTTAATATAGCACTGAATCCATCAGATTCAGTGCTCTAGAGAAATTAAGCTCTGTTTTGTAGATTGTTTGTCAGCCACGTCGAAGTTGCACGGCCACAATATCTCACTGTGATAATCAATGAAGTCTATAAGCTGCAAATGTGGCAAATAGCGGCATTATTATTTATTTCAGTAGCAGGGATACTCACACACGGAGAGTAGGGTGTCAAAGAAACTAAGAGTATAAATGAAGACACTTTTGCTGGGAAAAAGCAACTCAATGTGCTTCCAGACCTCTGGATCCCTGTTTCACATCTGTTATTCTTCAGACATTCTTACAGGAGATGAATCAATTAGGAAGAAGAACAGTGAAGCCAACAGCGAAAGCACAGCTCGTGGGGGAGATGCAGATGACACAATGAAATACAGTGGCTACATTAAGTTCTGCTCGGTTAACCTTTGCCACACACGCGTGTGTAGCAAACGCGGGTTTGTGAACAGCAGCGGTTTGACATCTAAATGGACGCGTTTTGTCTCTGAAGGGGCCCCGGGGGGAGCGCGGAGCGGATGGTTTTGCCGGCAAGCCCGGACCTAAGGTACTGCCGGGGCACTAAAACCCAGAAACACGCCGGCCGTCACGGAGGACACATGCAGCTTGTGATGTAGCACGTGTTCCTTTCCATAATAATCAAATCTAAGCTAATCTCATTTCTGAATGTGCTTCTCCCCAGGGTGACGATGGGCCTCCCGGCCCGAGAGGACCTGCAGGGGATCGAGTGAGCTCACAGCTGTTTAGATATTCTGTAATAACAAACACAGTCATGTCGCATTCATATATTTTCCTTTTCACAGGGAGAGCCTGGTACCCCCGGGCAGACAGGCGGGGATGGAGTTAGAGGGGACAGGGGTGTTCCGGTAGGTCCAAAACTTTAAATCAAGCAACTTTAAAACAATTAACACAATGTCCCCTCCCCAGGCAATATCTACCAATTTGCTCGGGGGACCACTAGAGGACAGTTAGGTTACTATGCAACCCAAATCAGTTCCGGTCTAATAAACTCAAGTTAAATGAACTTGGTCTAATTGGGCTGGGTAACCTCCCGGGTATAAAGTTCCCACATTTCAGCGTAAAAGTACAAAAAAAAGTCTGTGATATGTAGAAGTTTATCATCAAAACTTGATTTTGGTGTCTCTTCCGTAGGGAGAAAGAGGACAGGATGGACCACTCGGACCAAAAGGGGAAAAGGGAGACAAGGTAAATAAGGAACCACCGTTTCACAGCAGTCCAGTCGCCCCCTTTAGCCCGAGTAATGTTCCCCCCGTAGTGTCAGCTCCGAGGAGGACATTAGTACGCACACAAGGTGACTCTGTTGTCTCTTGCCTCAGGGGAACGAGGGAGCGAGGGGACTACCTGGCATCCCAGGGAATGTGAGTCAAATTGATGCTTCTGGTACTTTGACATCAAGCAAATCGCTTCAACAAGTTTCATCGTCTGTCTTTCTTTTCTTCACAGGTGGCAAATGTGATTCCTGAGCCTGGTGAACCTGTGAGTCCACCTGTATAAGACACAGCCCAAAGCCTCTTGTAGCTCTTTCTTTGTTTGTGAAGTAGATTTTGTAAGAGTTTATGAGTCAACATTCTTGTTCATCTTCCCCCTTTTTGTACATAACAACTTGTACTTGGATTGTTTGTTCCTGTATGAAGGGAAAACCTGGAGAGAAGGGAGCGAAGGGAGATCAAGGGAACCCAGGAGAGATGGTGAGTATGTTTTTTTCTCCTGTTTTATTTTCTGCTCTCATGTTTTCTTTTTACTTCATAGTAACAAAACTACTTCTTGCAATATGCACTATGTCCACTAGATGTCGGTACAGATCCGGTTTTCAGAGCTAAACTGAATGTCAGTAATGAACCGGTCTGATTCTCTGTCTCTGTCTGTCAAAAGAATATGTAACAATAAAATTGTTTTAAACTACAGTGTAAATGTGTGTGTCGTCTCCTTAAGGGTCTGAGAGGTTTACCTGGCGAACAAGGCTTCAAGGGACCAGTTGGACCAGTGGTAAAATGCTGCTAGTCTTTCAGTACTAAACCCCTTTTTATTGGAATACGTCTAATCCTGTATCTTCATTTCAGGGCGCAAAAGGTGACGCTGGACTAACGGGAGCGACGGGACGCGTTGGAGATCCTGTAAGTTGTCCCTTTTTAAATCACTGCACCTTTTCTCACCAACGGGACGATGTTCTGTGGTGCACCAACTGACGCGTCTCTCCCAGGGTCCACCTGGACTAGCCGGTGCTCAAGGTGCTCGTGGATTACCCGGCAGTGTGGTAAGTCTATTCTAAGGGGTCTTGAGTTGATTTTAAAGTGGGCGTCCTTGATGCCCGCTTGTGTTTCCTGTGACTCAGTCCCAGTTGTCTGTCTTCTAGGGCATACCAGGGATCATTGGGCCTCCTGGTCCAGTCGGACAGAGAGGAGACAAGGTCAGTCCTCTATTCTTAAACACTATCGCTATATTTGGTAAGTAGTTCTTCTCAAAGTACTTCGACTATGTTCAGAGTGAGTTTGTCTCTGCAGAGAAGAGACCTTGAATGTCCTCCATTAATGTTTCATCGGAGAAGCTTTTGAATTAATCTTTATCTCTACACTTCTTTTGACTTGTTTTCTCTCTTTGTTTGCTTTTCTTTTTCTTCTTCCACAAGTAAAAAAAATAAATAAAAAATGTAATTTCCAAGAAATGCTGTGATTATAATATAATCTTTAAAGTACGACACATTGAGTGAGTAGAAACGAGCAGAACACAAGCTACCTGCTGATGTAGCCTCGAAAGACAAACCTTTGTCTTCACCTTTACTTCAGGGTGAAACGGGTAAACCAGGACAATCAGGTGTCCCGGGCCCACCTGGAGATGGCGGTTTGACTGGACCTCCCGGACCACCAGGAAAGGGCAAAGACGGGCAAAACGTAAGACATGTATGTTCCGTTGGCGGGCATCTGCCTGCAGGTCATGCACATTGAAGCACAGCACACGAGCCCGAGTAGCACGTCGTGCAGCTCCACGCGTCCCTTCATTGTTTCTCAGACATGTGGCCCGTCCTGCTGACGAGGCACGAGCCCACAGGAAGGACGCTGTAAAGACAGCAGCCCGTTTAGCACGTTTGGCTCGCAGCAGCAGCAGCACAGTTGCTTTTTTTTTTTTTTTTTTTTTTACAGCTGCCAGGTGTGGCCCCCGAGGCCTCGGCACACACACACATCCTACACACAATAATGACTTATTCCAATAAGTGGCCCGCAGTTTGATTGATGTCATGTGTGATATTCCAGGGGGATCCAGGACCACAGGGAATTCAAGGACCCCCGGGGCTGAAGGTAACTCTACAGTTCGTGTGTGCGATGATGTGTGTGAGATGATTGTTAGTTCCCTGTAAGCCTTCACGCACGGGTTCTCTGTGTTTTTTTTTTTTTGTTGATGTGTTGAACAAACAATTCATTTTTGTGGAAAAGCGCGACGCACTGTGACTGCCGCTCTGACGAAGCGCTCGGCGCCGGCGGGCCACTGACTGGGAGGCCGGGCGGGCCGCCTGCCGGATTTATGGTGTCAAGTCGCTCACCCTCATCGGCGACGCCGTTTCTCTTGCACCAAAATGTCAACTGCTGATTGTATTTCTGTGTTTCACCTATTTTATTTTTTCATCGCAGATTGAAAACGGGTGTTTCTGGGGTCAGAGGGCAATCGCTGATCGTTAGCCGGACGTTACCGCCGAGCTGACGTCCTCTGAGGGTGGTGAAGTAAATATATGTATTTCTCTCGTTCTCAGGGGCAAACCGGGCCCCGAGGAGAAGTGGGGCCACCCGGGGACAGGGGCCCCGCAGGGGAAGGCAGAGCGGGACCACCTGTACGAGCATCAATGCCGACCACCATCACCATCGTCCTCCCCTTCGGTGCATTTACATATTTGTAAATGTTTTCCTTTCCTTTCTTTGTCTTAGGGGCCTTCAGGAAGTGACGGTGACGCTGGAACTCCGGTTGAGTATTTTCTAAGGATTCATAAAGAAAATGTTTATATAAAAGGAGTTTCTCTAAAATGTGTCTATGTGGGCTTCAGGGCCTCAGGGGCCTGCCGGGAGTCGCCGGTCCTCAGGGCCCAGCGGGACATAATGTGAGTCCAACAACAATCCAATTAAATCATTTCATACAGTTACATTATTAGGAGTTCCATGCTGGAGTATTTTTGTCTGCTCTGTATTGTATTATGACTTTTCAATTTTATTCTCGTTTATATCTTTGTATTTTAAAATTGACATTGTTGCCTTTGCCCCAAAATACAGGGTTTACCAGGAAGACCAGGAGACAAGGGATCACCAGGAGATCCTGTAAGTACGACCACAGTAATGTGAGGTGCCGGTTTAATGAATGTTCCTTCTCTCAGGTGTTCATTTTAACCGTCTTATTTCACTTATTCTACCATAACTATATTCTATATAAAGGAGAGAATGATCATGGGCCGTTAACGGGACTAATCCCTTTACATAGAGTGTATTTTTAGGCAAGAATCTATTATCTGTCATTATTAACCGTTCATTTATACAAAAACCGAAACAGTAGTTATGGCTATTTTTTACAATACTCATTTTCAACAGTCATTATCCAAAGCTGAACACGAGCGGTTTTAAAATCCACCCCAATCGGATCTGTGATTGAATGACTCTGGGTTCATGTTTTCATTCGCTGTCTCTCAGGGAAAAGCAGCAGACCTGTCGGAGCTGGATCTGAAGGTGAGGAGCATTCCCGTCGCTCTTCGTATTAGAGAACGTCGATGTCGGAATCGTCGTCAACCACCGTGTCTCTGCCGTCTCGTAGGACGTCTGCTCAGACTGCCCCGCGGGCCCACCTGGACCACCAGGTCTCCCGGGAGTCCCAGGGGACAAAGGACACCAGGGACCTCCGGGGAAAAACGGTCAAGACGGCTACCAAGTATGACCCCGTCATTACTATTCAACCATGACATCACCCCCCCTGTAATGTGGTGGTTGGGGGGGGGAGGAGGGGGGAGGGGACTTGGTGCCGGACAGAGACTGATGCTCTGCTGTGTCATTACAGGGGCCGCCAGGAACAGCCGGAGCTCAAGGGCCCCCTGGAGCCGACGGGGGAAAGGCGAGTTTGCGCAGTAGCGTAATATTGTTGTAGAACATGTAATATTTTGAATACCTTTAATAACTTGTTTCCTCTTGACAGTATATGACAGTTCTTATGGTCTTACGTTCTTTTTTCCCGCAGGGTGTTAAAGGTGATCGAGGACCTCCGGGAGGCCCCGGAGACAAAGGAGAAAAGGTATATTTATATCTTAATGACTCATGCGGCCCTCAACATCATCATCTCCTCAAGTATTATTGTCCGCCATGTATCGCATAACTATATTGTGTTTTTTCTACAGGGTCACCCAGGACCCCCTGGTCATCCGGGCACCCCTGGCTTAATGGGCACACCCGTGAGTTGTTATTTGGGGCTTATTTCCTTCCATAAAATGCACTAGAAACGTTCAAAATGACATATTTCCTCCACACTCATTCCTTCTACTTGGGATGACCTCCACTGATACCGTCTCTTCTCTCTTCAGGGCAACGACGGACTGCCTGGACCCGTCGGCCCCTCGGGACCCACCGGAGAAAAGGTCAGGCTGCACCACATGTACTTTTCCCCCTCAGAAAACTTATTACCAATGTGTCATTACTGAACGAACCTCTTCCCTCCAGCATGTAGGTCAGCCAGTCTGTGTGGTAATAGTGGCCATTTATCATTTATTTTTCCTCGGGGTCATTGACCTGTTTGCGTTTGTTTGTTTGTTTGTTTGTTTGTTTTAGGGCAAAGAGGGGCTCAGTGGAATCCAGGGGCCACCAGGTCTTCCCGGCTTGATTGTGAGGAAAATGATTGGATGTACAGCAGCATGAATGTGCACCCTGTTCACGCAGTGAGGCGTAGTCTGCGTTTTAGATCACAATCACAGGCCTTAACAGATGCTAAAAGGAACGTTTCATTCATCGGCAGGGTGAGCCTGGAAAAATGGGAAAAGATGGCAGACCAGGTGAACCAGGAGAGCCTGTAAGTAGATGAAGATGTTTCTAGGTGATCCAAAGAGTCTATATAATTGTGTAATTAAACATGAAAATGATGCTGTAACTATTTTTGTTTTCATCTCAGGGCAAGCAAGGTGAGCCTGGACCACTAGGAAACCCGGGGCTCAGGGGACCCTCAGTAAGTAACCACCATGAAACAGATCTGACGGAGCAGAGCAAGTCGCTGCGACTAATTCACTGCTGTTTATTCTCTTTGCAGGGCTTCAAGGGCCACAGAGGAGAGCCCGGGGCTCCAGGAGCTAAGGTTCGTGTTTTTCTGCCTAATGGGAATCACCATGCAGGAGCCATAATAAATGTCTCTTTGGTTAATTGCTCACCTTTTGTAATAATAAAACCGGAGGAGGGAAAGTAAACGGCACTTTTTTCCCCCATGTGATTATGTATTCTATAAGAGTCTTTATCTTCTCAAAGTCAATTTCACACGTTGGTGTATATCAAATCAATTTTTTGCAATGTCATGATTAATAAGAGAACACAATACTTCAGATGTTGAAGGGCAAAAAGAAGCAAAGTGTTTTCCATTTTCTAAAGGGAATGTCCTGGTTTGGTGAACGTGTCTTTGTTCTTTTTTGATGAGACCAGCGGTTTCCCAGACAGCCGGTTAATGGCGCCGCACGCTGTTGGGATAGAACTAGACTCTCTAGTGGCCCAATGCTATCACACGTCCTCAGCGTAAAGATGAGACACAATGCACATCACACAACTGGGATTGTGCCACTCATCTTCATCAAAGGACGGTGTTAAATTAAAACAAAACTACGTGATCGATTCAGCACAACATCCTCCGCTGGTATTAGTATTCATGGATTGGAAAACTGGCACAAGAACAAAAAAAGAAAGATAGCTGCCTTTGCTCAAGAACCGTAACTGGAACTATTAACTGCAGACGGAGTAGCTCACTGTCAGCGCTTCCAGATATTTCTGACACCTGCGTTTTCTTTTGTTGTAAAACCAAAGAAAGTGCTGCTGTGTCTCAGCACGGTTCTGCACGGCTCATCACAGGCTGCGCTGCCACGCAGACACCCGGCAGCTCCTTTCAGGAGCCGCAAAGTGTTTCCATGGACACGCTGGGATGTTTAAACTCATTCCAATTCACCTTTTGCAAAACGCACCGTGTCTCCATCACATGACCTTCCATTGGCTCTAGCTCCCATGCAGTTGCTATGCTGCACACTGTGTGTAGTACATCAGGGTGTCTCTGCGAGGTGTCTCACCTTTTGACTGCATTAATAAATAACAGTAAAGTTATAAAAAACAAAACTGTCAAACTTCAAAAGATAATTGTGTATGAGTGAAGTTTACCTTTCTCCTATTTAGTCCGTTCTCTTTTGTTCTGATCCAAACAGGGAGAAGATGGGAAGCCCGGATCATCGGGGCGTGATGGCAAACCCGGGAAAGAGGTCTGTTCAAAACAAAAACGTTTTATGTATTGCTGTTTTTTCCAGGTGTGTTGGTTTGCTTTCGGAGGTGAGACGACGCCATGAAGTCAAGTCATGCAACTGGTCCATGTGAATCCGTTTCCATGACAACGGAACGACTAAATATGTATATGTAACTATTGTAAGCCTTTGTTGTTCAGCCCATCCGAAAGTATCACTGTTTCCTTCATACACACCTGACAGTGGAAAGACAATTTAGTATTTTCAATCTGCAGTTCCCTCAATCTCTATTCCACTCACACACACACGCACACACTACCTTTTTGTGCGGCATCCCTTCCCGACTGTCACAGGGAGAATAATTGTCATTGCTGCTTGGAACCGGTCCTCCGTTGATTGGGGGAGTTCACACAAAACTCCTGGGATCAAACATGGTGTTTGGACATGTGAAGTTTGCAGCAGAGCAAAGACATCTGGAGGATGCTAGAGCTCCATCAGCAGCAGTCATGGCTGCTTCATATCCTTCCACACAGTTTAATGCCTTCGCCCAATGACAAACTGAAATCCAAGTGACGCATTCGAAAGGCTGCAGCACTTGACTTTTTTAACTGTGACGCTTTTCTCTATTCTATTCTCACAGTGTGTGAAAGTAAGACTTTTTTCTAACCCACCCCCCCTTCCATAAGAAGGGAAGGACTCCAGACTCACACCACAGCAACGCTATAGTTTTCTTTTTTCAATAAAGATTGAGGTTTATTCAGGTACCCTTTTGTCTTTTTTTAGCACGTAAAAGCCAGAATAAAAACGATCTATCTATGTGTTGTCCTGCAGGGCTCGATGGGACCTCCAGGCAGAGAAGGCCTCAGTGGACCAAGAGGAGAGCCGGTGAGTCATTTTCAATCACCTGCAGGGCTGTCTGATGCAGACGCAAGACAGAAGCAGCCCGATGGCGAGCTGACTGATACAGACATAAAGTGCCACTCAACTTGCTCCTCTCGCTGCCCCTCCGTCAATTTACTCATGCTGTGTTTTCTTTTTTTTCATCTCACTTTGCATCTCAGGGCAAGCCGGGGGAACCGGGGCCATCGGGAAAAGCAGGTCTCGCTGGAACGCCAGTGAGTCACCTTTTTTTATATAATATTATATGTGTATTATCAAAAAGGCAGTTGGATGATAACAGTTAACAAACGTGACACCGATATACGGAAAGTTTAGCCATTTTTCTCCCAGTGGTTTTGAAGAGGAATTAAAAAAGACAACATTTCTGCTCTGTTGATTTGATCCAATCTGCTCTTTAATGCCTCATCTATAAAGTGTAACCCTAACCCTAACCCTAACCCTGTCAAACCCGCTGCATTGTACACGTGTCCTGCATCCTAAAAACAGACACTGTAGGTACTAACAAGTGTGGCCCGTTACTCGCGATGTGTGCGGTTACTAAGGTGGAGGTGGAGCGATCAAAACAGTCACAGCATCTAACGACAGCTCGGGAGGAGCAATTAAAGAAGGGAAACCTGCCTGGAAGGGTGGAGTTGAAATAGATGTTGTGCACAGAATAGACAAAATGCAAAATGAAGTCACAGTATAGAAAATGCATCTGACAAAATAAAATGTTGAATGTGAACATCACATAAAAAAATGAAAGAAGAATATTTTGAATTGTTTGTGGGCTGGAGGGACCAGTCCAGGGTGTACCCTGTCTATCGGCCGAAGTTGGCTGGGATGGACTCCAGCGCCCCTGCGTGCAGGATAAGCGGTTTGACGATGGATGGATGGATGTGGGCTGGAGGACGGTTTCATGGGAGGAGGAGGAGGAACCGTCATGATGTGGATGATGTGGTCGGTCAGCAGGGGGAGCAGATCACCAGCAGACGCCTGCAGGAGGCAGGGAGCCAGATTCAGGCCGGGTGGGAGGAGGAGGAGGAAGTGAGGGTGAAGCTATTCAGAGGCAGGATCTGACATTTCCAAAAAATGTTATTAGATGGATAAATTTACCAGACAGAAAGAAGATGACGCGACGCCTTTTATCAGAGGGGCAAACGGAAGAAAGCTCAGGATGAGAAACTGAGGCGGGATCCTTCTCCCAGGAATGGACAGATGCTCAATAGGTGCTGTGTGCAAAAAATAGACCAAATCTCCCTTCAGGCAATCCATATGACACGTAGAATGTGAACATATGAAGGAGCTGGATGGAGGAGGACGTCAGGCAGCGTTCACGTCTATCGCCGCAGAGCAAGAGGCCCGAGGCACAGCACCTCCACGAGAGGCTAAATGAAGCTCGCCACACATCGAGAAACGACACTGCAGCCGGACGGATGAGCGAAAGAGCCGCTCGTTGGAGAAGGTTATTGCATAATCAGGGGACACAATGGGAAAATTGTGTCGGCGGCACTTCCTGTTTGGAGTGAGCGGTTAAAGGAGATCAAACGGAGACAAAGTGGTCTGTTCATTCACAAGGTTGCAGGATCATCCTTGCATTCACCTTCAACTCCCCGATGAAGGGAAGCTAAACCTCTTCTAATATTATACTGCAGCTCTGTTCTAGTCACAACCCCTCTGCTGTTCTTCTGACCCGCACGTCCCGTGTAAATACGACCATTAATCTCTTCAAGCCGCCGTGTCTCCACGCAAGATTGGTTTGGAGATTTCTTCTCCGGGGCACGGCTGCATGCCGATAAGAACTGCAGATAAATATTAATCCTTCCTGAATCCACAGTAATGAGGGAGGCTTTTGGAGTACAGTGTGCCATGTGTCTCTTCTGTCGCACAGGGCCTTAGCGGAAACAAGGGAGAGGCCGGCAACCCGGGATTACCAGGCTTCAGCGGGCCCAAAGGCCCCGCGGTCAGTGGCCCCTCCTCATATCTTCAGGTCACAGTTCACAGATGCACAGTGGTGTTAACTTGTATCTCTCTGGTCTTCTAGGGTCCACCTGGTCCGATTGGCCCAGAAGGCAAACAGGTGAGGACGTCATTGAACCACAGTCGGCAGACTATGAAATTATAATCCTTGGTTTTTTTCGCTCACTTTCCCTGTTTTGTGTGTTTTCTAGGGGATGCCAGGCAGAGTTGGTGATCGTGGCTTCAAAGGAGATAAGGCGAGTACGAGAGTTCTGTCGGATAATATGCTCATAAGATTATGACTTTTGTAGAAACGATGATGATAAATGAGGAGTTTAAATGGCAGTAGAAAACAATTAATCACCGAATGAAGCGATCTATATAATTTCTAACAATAACCCGTAATTATAATGATTATTACTTTTCTTCAAGTCTGAAAATGAACAACCGCTGTCATCTGTTTCAGGGAGATTCAGGCGTGAAGGGAGATAAAGGACAATCGGGAGACCCAGGCATGCCTGGAAACCCCGGGCCCCCCGGCAGAAAGGGCCACACAGGGATGATGGGCATGTCTGGACCTCCCGGAGAATTAGGAGCCCCGGGGCCCCAAGGACCTTCGGGGAATCCCGGTATGCCAGGCCAAAGAGTGAGTCGCAGTCCCGCCAGGTTTATTGTCGATTCGATCACATAGAAGTTGTGATAATTGAGCTAACGGGGAACTTATTTGACGTCTTAGGGCGAGTCGGTGTCACTGGAACAGATGAGACGGCTCATCCAGGAGGAGCTGGCCAAACAATTAGATGGTGAGGAGGCGTGTTTTTGTGCGTGTCCTCTTCTCCACCTTGCTGAGATGACATGAGTCCAGTTGTCATCCAACACAGTTAATCGTATTGTTCACTTCACAGTGAAAATAAATGATTACATTAAGTGTTCAGTACCTCTTACAATAAAATCATCAAAGTTAACCCACATCAAAAGCAAAACTATAAGTATAAGATAAGTCTAAGATAAGCGGGGAGTGTTCCACAGTTTAGGGAAGTATCCTTTAACAGGGTCATGGTTGAGATATAAAAGGAACGGCAGTCACTGTTATTTAATTCTTTTGATCGATCGTAACGCCGGCTTGCGGCTTCTGAATTAATTGTGCCCTTCCAACGAGATCCGTGTGGAGGGGTAATAATCTAAATGAGTAGTAGTGAGAGCATGCATCAGTATTTCAGCGAGTGCCGAGCTGAGTGATGATCCTCACATGAAAGAATTTTGTGACCTTTTTAAAATGGTCGTTTTCTACCTTTTTATTAAGGCAGTTTCAGGGCCGGAATTAATCTAATATTTTATAATCGTTATTCTTGTTGCCTCATGGAAGCTGGATTCCAAAGGTTTGTTAATAGAACACACGCGACTTCCTTTAGTTCGTAGGGATTAAAATGGCACCACCTTTTAATAAAGGATGGCGTAGGCTGAGCTTCACCCAACGGCTAGCTCATGAGTAGCATTTCTAAAACCCGATCTAATGGGGGAACTGTTCATTCCTCACCTGTAAGAAGTTTTTCTTTTTGCGTGCAGCCAAAATGGCTTACCTCATGGCTCAGATCCAGCCGGCCCACGTTAAGAGTACGGCCGGCCGCCCAGGACCCCCGGGCCCTTCAGGGAAGGACGGCAATGCTGGACGACCGGGCCCCCCTGGAGAGCCCGGTGTGCCTGGACAAAATGGCGGGGAAGGATCCAGGGGACCCATGGGCCCTAAAGGTTGGACCAACTTTTAGCAGCAGTATTATTGTGAATGTGGAATGAATCAATTTCTGTATTGGTAATGCAAAAATACAATTACTACATGAAAGGATGATTTGGGCTACGATAGAAGTACTTCACTAAAACAGCTTAAAATCACAGGTACATTTCTTTCTGAATTTCCAGGCGACAGAGGAGCAAGAGGAGAAAGGGGGGAACCGGGTGTCGGCGAAAGAGGAGCGCAGGGACCCTCCGGCCCGATAGGTAACAGCCCGTCTCTCTCTTCCTCCACTTCAACCTTCTCAAGTTCCCCTCACCCGGATTTGGATCCTCAAATTGTTCCCTTTTTTACCACGACAGGTCCAGCCGGTCTGCCCGGTTACGGTAAAGACGGGGGCCCCGGGCAAGCCGGAGCCCAGGGAGAGCCAGGAAACCCCGGCCCCCACGGTCAACCCGGACCTCCGGGTCCCACCGGCCAGTGTGACCCCAGCCAGTGTGCCTACTACGCCAGCCTGGCGCAGAGACCCCACACCAAAAATGTCAAGGGGACCTAAGAGAGAAGGGACACAGAGCTTGAAGTCCAGCTGTATTTATGAACTTGGTCCGAATCAAGAACTTTTTGTTTTGTTTTTAAGATAACCTCATCATGGGGGGCAGAAGCAGCACCTGCTGCCGGCCAGGTCCTTTGTTTTGTTTGTATTTGGTATGTTTAAGGAAGGATGGGGATTCAGCGCGGGGTGAAATGGGGGCAGCTAATACATTTTTCTTTTCCTCACATGCTTTGTTTGCCGGTAAACATCTTCAGCGCTTTTATTTTTCCTGCCTCACAACCTGAGAAACTCTTCCCAGACCCCCGCGCTTCTGCGTCCAGCATCAGACGTCAGTTACCGCTCACCAACTCGCTCTCTGGCTGCGGATCGTCGGCCACATCATTACTCAGTGATCGGTTTTATTGTAACTGATGGGAAGGAGGAGGGGAGGGACATGCACAATCTCAAATACCAGCAGTGATATAGCGTAGCAGTGTTAATGAGTGAGTGTGGACGGCAATAAAAGGCCACTTCTTTGCACCAGCTCTCCACGCTGGTAGCAGTGGGCTTATGTGGCCTTGTTTCAGATATTACTGGTGCCCCAAAACAGGCATTGAAATGTAATTCCCCCCTAAAAACAAATTGAAATTGGATTACTGAAGGCGGAATATTGCGGAAGATTGTGGAGAGGGTTGCGGTCTTCGATTCCCAAGTTCAGTTGTGTTTTGCACAAAGTGTCTACAGGACGTGTCATTTGAAATCTGTGCCAAACATCAACAACATGCCGAGTGCGCTTATATTTAGTTGTTCTAAAGATAGCAGTGGAGACCGTTACATTCGTACGCTTGTGTTTAATGAAGTGGCCCTCGAGCAGTAAACGGCTTCGAGGAGGCTGTTTAATTGCCGCCTTTGTTCGCCTCTCTTGAAAAGCTGCCTGTTTCTCACGGCTTTCTCTTAACGTGTCACTTCCTCTCTGTCCGCTCGGGCCTGTTAGGCAGCTGGGCCCCCCCCCCCCCCCCCCCCGCTGTGAAAGGACGTCGTCCTTTCTTGTTTGTCCCCCAGAGCCTAAAGTTGGAGAGTTGCTTCCCTGCATCCTGTAGACCAGACTTCTGTGGTAACCATTTGGAAGATCTCCCAACCCCCCCCACCCCACCTCCCCACCTCCCCCTCACGGACCAATTACACCTCTCCCGAGCCTCAGAGGTGCTGGTCATCTTGAACCTATTTAATAACCTCCACAAAAGCGATCACATTTGTCTTCCCGTCACGAACATGAAGCGAGTTGTCGCTTCGCACCACAGAAGAAGAGACGTGGAGGAGCAGCATTCACCAAGAGAATACAGACATATCCTCAAATTGAGCTTGTAGAAACAGTACGACGCGATCAAAATTCATCCCTTCATGGATCAGTGATGCTCACAATCTCCCGCTCAGGTTACCCAGCGGAAGGTCATTCATTCAAAAAAGTAAAGTGGCTGCGACAACTTAGTTTTGAACATGTTGGTGAAGCAGACTGCCGTGTTTCGGCTGCTATAGAGGCAAAAGTTCAAGGCTTTGTCATTCTTTCAAAAAGTTGAATTCATTGAAGATATAATACACCCCCGCTAAATTCATTGGTTGTGTTACTGCAGTTCATGGGGGAGAATGTTAAGAAATGATTAAATTTAAAGGTGCAATATACGAGATGAAGAACATTCATATTGCAGCAGAGAACTATTTTCTATGTTGAGATTCTAATCTGAGATTCTTTTTAAGCGATTTCCCTGCTTCAAAATAAAGTGTCCTGCGACGCTCACGCGCTGTTTCTTGGTGCTCGGTGAACCCGACAGGTCGCCTCCGCATTCTGGCTCCTCTCGTCACGCCGGTCGGGAGCAGCTCGAGATGCAATGAGGCTTAGAATGAAATGTATCCCTCAATGGATGATACCTGGAATATACCTGCTCTTTAAATGGTTTCATACCATTTATCATTCTATCATTCTAAAGATATCTGTTTGCTGCCTCACTGTCATGATTTAGGATTGAACAATTGAATCATATCAGTATTTTCCCTTTCTTGGTTTGTTACAGTCACCAATAACCTGATGAAGTTATAATGCTAAATTATTCACAATTTGAACCATTACAAATTAGTTATAACGCATTGACTAAAATAAGTTATACCGTTTTCCCTCCTTTTTCTCCTCTTTACTCATTGGTGCTAAGATATTTTAAATTAGTAGCATATTGTACCTTTTAAGACATGTACTGTACTGTATAATAAAGACGGGAAAGGTTTCATTTTATAATATATACTTTGATTTCTTCTCGTCTCACGTTATTTAAAAAATATTTCTCAGTTCTGCCTCTAAAAGTCAAAATCTGCCAAGTCAAATATCCGTGAGCCAAATCTGTAAAATCACCTGTCGTGTTCACAGTAATAATCAATCAGTGTGTCTCTGTATTGGTGCTGTGCAGACGGGGATGTTCACCTCCCTGACGGCTTTGTAGCCAGACAACAGTGTCCTCCTGAGTAGAGACAATAACCATGGCAACCCGGGGACCTCTTCCTCATAAAACCATTTACTGTGGCCTCGGCCGAATGAAGGGACTTTTTGTCACATGCATACCTATGAACCGAAGAAAGACGGCATGCTCCATAACACAGTAACGTGAAACACTTCTAAAACCCATCATTTTATTCAATTGTTTGAAAAAGAACAAACCGATACGACAAAACAAATGTGCGCTCCGTGATGAAAAAGGCCCACGTTGTTGGAGACGTCGCCTCAGGTCTGCACTCACAGAGAATTGTAGACGTTACATTTTTGTACTTTTCTCGTGGCCTCAAAGATTAGTTCCTCTTTGGCAAAGTATGTTCCTCACGTGCTGTAGGCTTTACAGGGTGGTTTTTCCAGTCGATACGGCTTCAGTCGGACTCGGATGTGTTTGATTCGGGTGTAACTCGCGGGCGTGCGCCCGTCGTCGTCTGGAAGAAGTTGCTTGGGCATCAGTAGCAGCCATCTCTGAACAGCAGATAAGCTCTCACTAATATCACAAACAAGTTCAAATGTCTTTTACGGTATTCTACAGTTGTTTCCGGTCTCTGATTCCCGCCACGTCTCTTAGATCCGCGGCTCAGACGGAGACATGGGAGGACCCCCGGAAGGTGGTGACGTGGAGCTGCAGGATGCAATCTGGAGTGTGCTAACGAGCCCTCGCGCCTCGTTAGTTCTTGTAGCCGGCAGACTTCTTTCCGCCGACCATGTAGAGCGGCGGAAGTCTGCTTATGCAAGTCGACGGGTCGCAGAGGCCGGGCGGCCCCGAGGGGCCCCGGGGACCGGCCGCTCCGGGGTCACCGGGGCTCCCCGGCTCGCCGCGTGGTCCGGTTTGGCCGTCCTTGCCAACGCCGTCAGCGCCTTTTGCCCCTGAGGTGCAAAAAACAGGTGTGATGGTAGCGGCAGATGGTAAGGAAAACTCTTCTCACTTTCTTTATGACTTTTTTTAACTTAAGACCGTGAGGTCGATTTTAGTTAAAGTAGTTAGAAGTGCCGCCATTATGACAGAAAGGTGGCCTTACCTGGTGCACCTGGCGCTCCTTGGCTTCCTTTGATTCCCACACCGTCCTCTCCCTTGTCTCCCTTGTCCCCCTTTGGCCCATTATCACCTGTGGAACAGAATAAACAGCACTGATATGACTCAAAGAGGCCGTGGGTTTAATGGAGAGGGACGTTTTCAGCCTTGTTTCCTGAATCGTACCTTTTTTGCCTGGTGCTCCTGGAAGTCCATAAAACCCTGGATGACCTTTGGCCCCATTCAGGCCCGGAGTGCCTGCTGCTCCTGTAGCTCCGGCTGGTCCAGCGGCACCGGGAAGTCCTGCCGGTCCGGGAATACCAGGGGAACCAATGGCTGCCGGCCTCTTCAGAAACTCTTTCATGAACTCAGCCAATTGTTCTGCAGGAGCAAAGAACAAATCAGCTCAAGGCAGGAAGTGGCCACGATCGGTTGTGCAGATGGCTAGAACAGCTCGAATGTAATGTAGGGCTGGTTATCATTCCAAATGTCCTGAGCAGCCAGGCAGACATTTTGGAAGTAATACCGTTGGGACACAAATTAAGTCGTTGAGGAATGACCTCGCCGCGATGTTCAGCATGTGTCCCATCTGGACTTTATGAGTAGAAGTTAAAGATAAAATCACGGATTCTTATTGACTGAACAATCCACACCTTCGACAACGGCGGAGCACATTTCCCGGAGCTGGTCATCATTCACTTTGGGGCCCTGTGAACAGGAGAACAAACATGCAAAGTGACTTCTGGTTTCTTTTCATTTCAATATCTCTTACTAGCCATCTTGTTTTAGCTTTTCACAGTAAATTGAATTGCATTAGTACAGCGTCTTTCTAGTCTCTGGACCACTGAAAGCGGCCAGCAGTTCACAAGGGCCTGAGGTTGAACCGTTTACTGAGATCTTAGCGGGGTTTGCTACTTAGCACATTTGTCATTTGAGGCCGATGGGAGCATCATCATCAGCTTTGGTGGCAGTTGATCGTTAACCGGAGGCTGCGTGTGTCTGTACTGTACATTTGTAATGGCACTTACAGGTAGACCTCTGGGGCCTGTTGCTCCAGGAACGCCCGCCTCACCCTCCAGTCCTTGAGCTCCCATTGGACCGGGCAAACCCTCGTGGCCCGTCTGGCCTGGTCTGCCTTCATCTCCTGTTGCTCCCCGTAGGCCCTTCTCGCCGCGCTTGAAAAAGACATAGAGAGCATTACCATCCAATTCAAACGAGAACACAGCGGCCGTATTATCAATTCATCAGTCATTTTAATGCAAAAGTCTGGGAACGACAGGGATGTTTGAGAGCTGCAGTCGAGGCTTTCGTACCTCTCCCTTGAGTCCGGTAACGCCGGGCGGGCCCTGAACACACACGATGATTAGTCGACTTCTTTCAAGAACACTCACACGCCGGTCGGAGCATTTTCAACAGACACGAGTTAAAAAAAACCTTCAGCTTCAGATACCTGATCTCCCTTCACCCCTGAATCTCCAGCTACGCCCGGGTCCCCCTGAATGCAAAAAGTAACAGTTAGCTTCTTGTTGGGCCGCTGAAATACCACGAGTGTCGAAAGGTATACTGAGGTTGGAATAGTTCTCACCTGGCTTCCTTTTGGTCCCACCAGTCCCATTGGGCCCTACAGAACACGTGATGAGTGGAATTTGAGGTACTTTTTGAGGTGGGTAAAGATTGTTAAAATAATATTGGTAAAATTGGATTTGTCTAACCTGATCACCTTTGTGTCCAGTATGACCCTTCAGTCCATTAGCACCAGCAAGACCTTTATCTCCCTTTTCCCCCTAGAAATACAACCTTTTTACAGTTATTGGTTTCTATAAATTCTCTGTATCAACAGACTCTGTAAACCATTTTGGCTACAAGTGCTTTTTAATTTGTTTTCTTGCAGTTTAATCATCAAAGTGAATGTAAACTTTATATCAACAATGAGTCTCACATGGATTCCTGGAGGACCAGCAGGTCCCACTGGTCCTTGTTTTCCAGTTCCACCCTGGAAATCGATTAAATATGATTAAAACCTCATCTACATCATTTACACATTGACAAATATCCACTAAACACGCACAATTATAGAGATGTGAACACGACTACAAAGCTAACGTAGACTCACGGTTGCTCCTTTATCTCCCTTTTCCCCATCTTCTCCATCGTCTCCAGGCTCACCCTGTGTTCAAACAGATGTTGGCTTTGACAATTTGCGGGACATTAATGAAAAAGTGTTATTGGGAGCTTTACGGGAGGATCTCACAGTCTTTCCGGGAAGTCCAACCGGCCCGACGGGTCCTTCTTCCCCAACTTCCCCCTGAATCCACAAAACAGGGACTGTGTCAGTCTTTGGAATTACGACTTCTGGTTCTGTTGAAGGTTAATAGTGCTACGACATTTGAATGCACTATTTGGACACGCCTCATTGTACAGGAGATGATTCCAATCACCTTTGGGCCAGTGGGTCCAACTGGTCCCTGTGACCCCGGCAGCCCCTGGGAACAGTGACACATCACATGAAGGCAGAAAATGAGCTGTTATAGAGCTACTTCATTGGCATTCTCTTGTTAATAACCAATAATGCTGAGCTCATCACACATATAGAAAAAGACTAAGAGGCCGACACACATAATATGTCAAAAATATATCTCACTATCGTAAGTTCACAACATTCACAAAAGAGAATTTTAGGATAATTGAATTGAACTTACGGGAATACCCACAATCCCCCTGAGACCAGCAGCTCCAGCAGCACCAGACTCTCCCTGTTGAGTGGAGTGGATATCATACACATATAGTAAAGAATAGGTTGTCAACGTGTTGGTCAACTTGTACTCTAAGCTTTACATCCTAAAGAGGGAATTTGGATATTTTGGGTCACCTTTGCTCCATCCAATCCCGGGAGTCCATTCACGCCATCTTCACCGGGCTCTCCCTGAAACGCCACAGTTAAGACGCACTCTCGTCACTCATGAATAAAAGCAGCGCGCCTGAAGAATAAATATTTGCATCCCATCAGCAAACCTACAGCGTCTCCCTTTTCCCCTCCTGGACCTTGCTCTCCTTGAGGCCCCACAGCTCCCTGATGTGATCAAAGCAGGCTTTTAGACAACGCTTTGGCCTGTGCGCAAATAATCCTGATGTTAAAATCGCAGGACTCACCTCGTCACCCTTGGGCCCCTCCAAACCTTGACGTCCACGGGCTCCCTCCACACCCTGAGGAAAGATAATGGATAATGGTTTTCAATGACATCCCGTCCCGGGAGACGATGAAGGCGGCAGACCGGGAGGTACGACAGCAGATGGAGGCTCAGAGTGCTTACAGGGGCTCCGGGGGGGCCGGTGGGCCCGGGGACGCCGTTGAACCCGGGAGGTCCCTGCGAACACAGAGGAGGAGACGGATGTTTGCATGGGCGCCGCGTGCCGGTAAATGTTTCCTTTGTTTGTTATGAGCACGACTCGGTTCATTAAGAGAAAACGTGACTGCGATTTACTCTGTCTCCCTTTTCTCCCAGAGTTCCAGGGAAGCCGATGGGCCCTCTTTGCCCCTGAAATGACACAACATCATTATATAATATATATAAATGACTTCAAATCACTTCCTCTAACTCATTGAGTTACAGTGAATTACGTTTTGGAATAAAAAAAAAAAACGTTTCTTATGAATAGGTTTCCTCTCACGTCATCTCCCATGCGTCCTGGTGGGCCCTGAAGACCTTGCTCTCCATCCTCTCCCTGCGGTAAACAAGGACAAATTAATCAAATTGCAAGAACCGAGATAATCGCATTAAACTGTTTACGGGGCTGCAATCAAATGACGTGCAGGTGGTTCTCCATCTCTTTCAACGTGTGCAGCATTTGACTGGAAATGGGAATTCACTCAGTGCTTTGTCACAAGTAAGGGAGGGATATCACACATCAGTACCTTGTCTCCAGGCTCTCCGTCCTTTCCAGGTTCTCCAGGCAAACCTGCATGTCCCTGAAGGCAACGATTAATCGTTCACTACTTTGCATGAACCTGTATGTAGTTATTTGGTCCTGAATTGAAGGAGAGGGCTTGTGCACAAGCATCCATGATCCACATGTCCACATACTGATGTGTCTCTCACACATCGCCATCCAATGCAACACAGAGAGACAGGCATCTCGATCCAAAGTGTAACAGTCATAAAACGTTTTATTTATTTATTTATCTGTTACCTTCAGCCCTGGAAGCCCGGCCATTCCCTGTCGGCCAGCGGGACAGGCAGCGGGACACTGTGGGCCAGAGAGGGGACAGACAGAACACACTCAGCCATCAGAGCAGAGACCCTGAACTTCAATGAGTCAACGCGATGAGAAATGTCGTGCGTCCAGGGTGCGAAAGACAGAAAGACACTCACAGGTTCCCCGCTTCCCTCATTGGTGGCACCAGGCGGCCCCTAAAACGCAACAGAGTGACATCTAAAAGTAGGTGTAGATGTCCTCAGAAACCCACCAGCAGGAAATCCCCAGAGAGGAAACGTGAAAGGAGACGAGGACGCAAACGCACTCTAACTAACTTGCTGTTTCAGATGTGAGCAGACCTGCAGTAAGTTGTTCAGCTCTATGAGAAACCCTGTGATATTATATGAGAGCAGTGGAACTTACCACAGGCCCTGGTGGACCAGGAAGACCAGGAGGCCCTGATGTGCCCGGTGACCCTCTGGGTCCAGGTTGACCCTGAAAGAACACAAAATGCTTTCATAACGTTTTATTTTAGATACAAAAAAGCAAACTTTGATATATGTCTATATATATTGATGTATAAATATCTTAAAAAACTCCTTGTGTTCTCAGTCAAACTCACGTAAATAAACTACAGACAGAATACCCTTTACTGACGCGACCGGCTGCATTTACTTTTATTAATTAATTATTCAATTCATCACTTTGTCACTTGTCACTTTGTCTCTTGTCTGTTACTTGTTTGTTAGTGCACTTTATGCTTAATATTTTTCTTTTTAACTTTTTAATATTTAAAATTTTTTAACTTTATTCCCTTGTTTTATACTAACCCGTAGCCTTAGCCTTATTTTACTAACCCATTGCATTAGCATTTCATTCCACTTTATTTTATTACTTGTGCACTGTTGTCTTGTCTGTCTACTGTCGCGCACTAACCGCCAAGACAAATTCCTTGTATGTTTGACATATTTTGGCTAATAAATGTTTCCTGATTCCTGATCCTGATTCCTGATTACTTAAGAGACTTTTGTATTTTAGTGGTTCCCCACCCCCCAACACACTTTAATCAAGTAGTATATTTCATTAGCACATCTTCCTTAAATATTTTATCATTAGAATATTTTACTCTCAAATTGAGTAATTTATCGTTTTAAAAGGAAGTACTTCAGTAAAGTAAACTCTGCTTAATACCAAAGTACTTAGTGATTATTTGCACGTTGTTTCATCAACGTGTTAGAATGTGTGTCTTTCTCACCTCGGGCCCGATGTTCCCTTCATCTCCGGGGGTCCCTGGCTTCCCCGGGGGCCCCTTTCACAGACGGACACACACACACACACACACACAAGTTAACGTGGCAACAAATAGTCGTGCATGTGCAACAAAGTTTCAGAAATGAGATGTTGCAAACACATACGGGGGGTCCTTCGCTTGCTGGGCCCTGTGAAACACAGACACAAGACATGCATGTAGAGACATTAACATCACGGCGTCTTACAGTGTCATCTCCAAGCTGCTTTCACATGTTTCAACTTACGGGAGGACCGGCGGCTCCAGGAAATCCATGAAGTCCCTGCATTCAGGAGGCAAACGTCACCATATTATTTTACTGTACGACATGCGATGTTAGGAAACATAGGACTTATTACACATTTACTTTACTATGACTTTTTATGACAAAGTATTCTTAGCCACTGTACTGACATACGATGTCTTTTTTATCTGTTGCAATAACATTCCAAACATTTCTGGACATTAAGATGACACTTTTACTACAATTACCAATTTGTACAACACGAAATACACATGTTTCTTTCGATTATTTAAGGACTTATTATGTTATATTGTGACTTTTTTATTACTTTTGGACGACACACTAACAATACTATTATTTTTTAAACATATACCCACATACATGACTTTATTATTATGCTGTATAATGACCCATTGAAATGAGTGTGACTGGACGTCGTTGGATACTCACTCTCTCCCCCACAGGCCCTCTGGGGCCCATCAGACCCGGAGAACCCTGCGACAGACAAACACACCGTCACACACGGACCCACCGGCGCTCATGGGAAAGCGTTTGAAGAGCCGACTGTTCTCACAGCAGGTCCTTGAAGGCCGGGCAGGCCTCTCTGTCCAGGAAGGCCGATCTCGCCCTGCTCTCCTTTGCTGCCCTGCGGAACAGAAGAAGAATGAACGTCTTCCTCGTGCATCTCACGTGACCAGAGACTTTCAACAGAACTACAAAGGGAGGCGTTAATTATACAGTGCAGCAGAAATAACATTAACGTTCAATAACTGCTTCATCTAAGTAGCTTTGCATATTGAAGTTATCTAATGGAGCTTATAACAGGAACATGTCAACATAGTAATGAAGTTACATTTAAATATCCACTTGTTAAGTTCTAAAAATAGACGCGTGAACATTTGGGGGATGTTCACTTAAAATCACCACCAACAGTAACATGAGAACGAATCTGTTTGTACATATTACGCTTAAACTGTGTCAGTATAAGATACAATGATCAAACAACATAGATGTTGAATGTATATAGCTGAATATAACTGGTTCCTCCCACCATAGAGTCTATAGGTTCTTTCATTATTTTTGTTTGGTGGTCACTTTTGAATGATGTATTTGGTTCTTTAAAACCTCCCAGTGGAAGTCGGTGAACTTCAGACCTTCATTGTGGGAAGTGGCCTTGCGTTCGTGGACTAAATAATGAACTTGATCATCAAATGTCACTGAATGACATTCATTATAAAAAAAAGAGAAGAAGGAACAGGAACGTTCAGTTTCGTCGTCTCTTTTGGGCTCTTGTTTGGACAAATCAGGCACAGAATGTTTCACACGATAAGAAAGAGAACGATCCACAGCCTGCTGTGAGTATTCTGTGAGAACATGAAATACTTACTACACTGCCTGGACTGCCAGTGGAACCCGGAAGACCCTGAATGGACGAATGAAACAACAAAGTTAAAGAAAGCGGCGACATTCATGTACAAACACTTGCTTTGTGTTGGTGGAAAGGCTTCGGGTAATAAAAGACTCCGGCAAGAAACACTTACATCTCTCCCGTCCCTGCCGTTTTCTCCCTGAGGCCCTCGGGGGCCCTCTGGGCCGGGGGCTCCTGGGGGGCCTTGGAGTGATTTGTCAGGCTGAGAGCAAAGGCGACCGGTCAGCGAGTGAAAACCGTGAGCGCAGCTTGCAATTAAACCCGTGATTAAAACGAGTTATGGAAACCTTCAGCGACCGCTGTTATCAAATCATTCATCCACAATTGTCAAACATATTACTTTACACAGAACGCTTTACATATTAAACACAAAAATGTTTGCACCAAGCAGGTCCATTTGGTACCTTTTTGTTAATGTAAATCTATTAAAGTGCATGTATCTCTTTACAGCCTGCAGACATGTTTCTAATTTGGTACATTGCACATTAATCACTACATATAAATCACTGTGATAAAAAAAACAGCCATCAAACACAGCACCATAAATAAGGCTTAGAACAAAGAGGCAAGTAGGCAACCAAAGCACGGCAGTCGATTGTTGGCTTAAAATGAAAAAGCAAAAAGGAGTAAAGTAAATACCTCAGCATTGGCAAACATCTGAAGAAGCAAGAGAAATCAGATAAAGGGAGAGTTAGTGAAAGTAGTCACACCACCCTCACCAAAAGTGTCAGCAGAAGCCTGTTCATGTAGCAGTGAGTATGTCATGCTGTCATGTGACCACACAGCCCATAGGACCAACACCCCCCCCCCCATGTACACAACCACCTGGCAGATTGGGGCAGGGATGTCAGCCTGAAACACTTCCTGCCTCCAACGGGAGACGGCAGAGGGGCATTTTTCACCATTTCTCCGAGGCAGAAATCGCAGTAATACACGGCGTGTTGGAGATGATGAGCTACGTGAAGGAAATGTGGGTGCAGTAACTCCTGACTTTGAAAATGAATGCTAATAATAATAATCACATCACATGAATGTGGCGGAATCAGTTCTGATCAGGAGGTGTGTATTTGGTTGTGCAAAGTCAACTGAAAAGGTTTAAACCAGGCGAACGCGCTGGTTTAAACATTTGGCTGCTGCTTAGAAACCGTCCGAGAACGAATGTGGAACTTTCTTTTTGAGTGAGATTGACATTTCAGACTCTTAAACCCCGACGTCAACGCCAACGAACCACATTTCAACAGAAACCTGAGAACGAAGCAAAAACAAAAAGATAAAACCAACTTATTTCTTATGTTACTACCTTAAAAAGTGCATGCTAAGGTAAGCTCCACCCTTGTTCCTAGGCAACGCGGGTGGAGAAAATCAATTGGCGTGGTCTTAAACAGCAGGCGGCAGGTGTTATGTTGCATTCCTGTCAGCGGATGATCAAGTAGAAGCAGGAAGTGTGCCTGTTTTCAGAAAGTTATTTCAGACGGGGGCCACATGTGCAACCCGTTAAAGCATTTTACATCTTCACTACGCGTCGCAACACTTTCAACTCTTCTGATGCCAATTTTTCCTGAAAGCAAAGTCAGTGTAGTAGTTGGAAACATTTAGATGGGCCTCGTGTTGTTTCCATGTTGCAAAGGGGCCAACTAACATTAACACAAGTGGCACATGTTGTGTTCTGTGCTGACTTTATATAAAATGGTAACCACAAAAAAAAAACCTCACGCTTCGCCCACTCAGCAGGCCGGGATCCCTGATCTCACGGCTTTAATTAGATCAAGCTTCCTCGCTGTCGTTAAAAGTTCAGCGATGGAGCTGCGGCGCTGGCGGCCGAAAGCCGCCAGCGCCGCAAATTAACAAGGGATCGTGTCGGCCTTCCCCCTGCAACTGCGATCAGCCGCTGTCCAAGCTGCAATCGTTTTCGGGGGGAAAAACTGCCTGGCAGGTGTGTGTGTGTGTGTGTGACGCTTCTGCAACCCGTTCATAGTGAAACCACAAACCGCAGCAGTGGGCGAGCGGAGGCGAGTCCGTGTTACTGTACCTCGGTGGCGGGCAGCTCGCTGCAGCTCTCTCTCTGGGCCCTCTTTGGGTCGCAGTGGATCAACATCCACTGGAGTTCGAACTGAAAAGAGACGGCGACGTTACTTGCGCGGGTGGGACTGGCGTGCATTCACTTCACTTCTTCGCGGTGCGGATGTTTCTTTGAAGCTTTGAATCCGTTCGCTGCATTTGGCTGCTGAGCTGGATGTTCCATCAATGCTGCTTTGTGCAGGGATTAGTTTTTTTTTTTACTTTCCACTGGAACCCAGCTGAGCAGCTCCGTCTGGGCACCGTCGATCCGGTCTCGCCACAGACAGAACCACATGTAGACCCGGAGTCGGCGAACATGCTCACGTGCAGCGGTCGATTCTTCACCCTCACTCACCACCACGGAGGCGTCGGGGTCGGCGTCCAGCCGGCCAATGAGCGTGTCTCCCTCCGTGTTGATGGGGCCTTTTCCCTTGATGGGCCTCTGATCCACCGGCTGGCAGTCCACGTACAGAGTGACCTGGTCGCGCTCCACGCCGATCATCACTTTGTGCCATTTGGTGTTGAAGAGCACGGAGAGGCCGGGGAAGGTGACGGTCTGCAGGTTGCCGTCGGCGCCCATCAGGTAGTACTCCAGGGCCTGCTGGTCCCCGTTGAGCCTCAGGCCGGCTTGCTTGTAGCCGCTTTCGTCCACTATCTGCCACACGTTCCACACCTTGCTCACCGTGTTCTTGATCATGCGGAAGGTCACCATGACGGAGTACTCGTCAGGGAAGCCGCGAGGGAAGTTCAGCCTCAGGGAGAAATTGTGCACAAGGTGGTTTCAATTAGATGAGGCGTCACGTTAGAACTAGCTGGGTTTGAATGCATGAATCCATGAATCCATCCATTGAATCCATGGAGGCATGGAGGCACTCTTCATTATCATTAAATAAAGCACAAGGCGTGTCTAGAAATAACTTGAGAGTGTTGCCGTCACTTACAGAGTCAGAAAGAAAGTAAATTAAAGCGGCATGCTTTAGAGAAATAAGGGCTGCTGTTATATAAAAAATGAGATGCGTAAAAGAGCCTCAGTGCATAAATCACTGCTAGTCAGCACCCACAGTCGCTGAGCCTTTCTGCCTTTTCTTTTTTTTAACGAGCCACATCCTCAGTAGGTGGCGCCTTCGTAGATGTGCCCTGCCACCGGACTTTTACCGTCTTGTAAACGTTCAAGGTGAAGTAATAAAAGAGGAGTTTCCTGTCTGCCATTAAAACAAATGAAGACCACTCTTTGCCTGAGGGTGAGAGAATTCCTGCTGCTTTCGCCCTGCAGAAAAAGAGGGGAGGGGGAGTTCAGCCTGACGCCCGCTGACCCGGGACAGACTTCAAAGCGTTCGGGACTCGCGGGCGAAACCAGCGTGTATTCACATTCAGCGCGACGGACCCGAGCGGCGTTGGTGAAGGGTGCCAGCGAGTTGCATAACAGCTTAAGGAAAGCCGGTCCGCAGGAAAAGATTAGCCCAATACAGACCCACTGGGAAAGCAGGGGGCATGAAACCGATGACACTGCACGCTCAAAAGTTTCTTTAAAACGATGTCTTGACCAAACAAAGTGCAAAAAGCTCTGTATTTAGATGCTGCGGTTGCAACACGGTGCTGCATTATAGAACAAAGCAGGAAGCTGCTCTATGACCCACGACCCTCAGCGGAAACCCTCCAGCCTCCAGAGTCCAGCAGAATAACTCCTTTGGTCTCTTGGTCAAGTGAATGCCTTGGTGGTTGTTGATTCATTGATAGATTGTTGTAAAAGAAGGTAGTACTATGTGAAAGCGGGATATTCCAGCCACGTTTCAACCAACCTTTAATTAAAAACGGGGGAATGTCTTAACGCGGAGACAGTGCTGTGCTGTCTTTGTTCAGTCCAAACGTTGAAGGGACTTTGTACAGCGGGAGATAAATCACGACCAAACAGGCGAATTCCACTTGACTGCGCGTTTCCTGTGTGCACTTTTTCATCACACACCAGCAAAGCGCCTCTCCTCTGCCTTTTTGTCTGGCAAATAGGTTCAGACATGTTTTTTTCTCTAACAATTACACACTGCTTGTGATTCAGTAACATCTGTAAAGGACCTGTAATAACGCAACACCTGCGCCAGGACGACCGCTGACGCCCGTTTTGATCTGTTTCACCGTCTTTGCTGCGCTCACATGGTTGGAATTTGGAAGTTGGCCTCCTTGTCGAGGCGGTAGGCCACCTGAAGGGTGGTGGAGCCGTCCACCTTCCTCACACCTCTCAGCGGCACCACGTCCAACTGGAACTGTGTGATCAGATCGAAACCTGCGGAGGAAAACACTCGTCACAAAGTAAGAAAACGTGTCGTTGTTATTGAGTTATTATAAAGTGTTAATGTGAAGTATTGTACACACTATGTTGCATTTTGACTTGATAACCTCTAGCATGTAAATCCTATGCAGTTGAGATGATTCCCGCACTCAAATGAAAAAAGTTAATGCTTTATGTTAATGATAATTCCTTTGATCTTCTTGCTCTCTGGTTTTATGAATATTAAAGCGATCCGTACATTTTTCTCAGAACTGGAGGACAAGACTAAGACGGTGGAGGTTGTGATGACATCTCGCCAACGAGATGATAACGAGTCACGTGTGAAGTGAAGAGCTTTTCCATTCCAACGACGGGGTCGAACCGCAGAGCAGCGCGGGGCGCAGATGCGCTTGAAACCCATGCGGCGGTGAGCAATTACAATCTCGCTGAGTTCGGATTGTTCCAACTCGAAATCCGCAAAGCTCGAGCGGAGCGTTTTAATTTGCCTCGTTTAAAATCCAGCGGTGTCTTAGGGGGCATTAGGGGGCCCACCCTGTTCAACTAATTAAAACACCCCACCGTCCTGCGGAGCGTTTGGGTTCTTTCCCAGGGATCTTCGAGGCTTAAGAGCTCGTGGTTTTCGCATCAGCTTTTCTTTACCTGGAAGGTCATCTTGTCCGCTTCTCATCGGCGGGCAGACGGTGTCGCCATCCAATCGGTTGAGGTCGAGTTCTGACAAAACAACAACTCTCATCTTGTTATCTCGTTCTAAGCTGCATATGATGAATATGCAACCGCACCTCACAAATCAACATTGTGTTTGGGATGACGACCTTGGCGACCCCAAAAAGATGGAGACGTAATGTAGATGAATATGGCCGCCAGTGTTGCATGACTAAAGCCATGCGTCACCGGAAACCTTTGAGATGGTCGACATGGCGGGTCGGCCTTTGTTTTTGTGGACCATTTATCAAGATGGCAGTCTCCTTCGGCGGAAACTTCAATCTGCAATACATCAAACTGCCATTGCGTTTGAACTTTTACCACGAGATCAATACTTTCCTGTCTTTTTTTTTTTTTTTCTCTCTGTGAATGTACAAAATACAACACTGGCCTAGTTTTTCATTGTCAATAATAAACCGTTGTTAGTGTAAATGAATGAATTAAGAAAGTCACCGTCTTAGTACTAAAAGACATTACACACGATAGAATCAATTCCTTGGATGTGTCAGAAGAGGGGGCTATCCCTGAGTCAGGAGGGGGGGCCCTCTAAAAAACGTGGATGGTGACAGCCGGAGGGCCTCCACCTGAGTCAGCTCATTTACAGAAACCAGAGTGAACACAACACATCTGGAAGCCGTTCCCACGTCGCACGTAACTGCTGAGAAATGAGATAAAGCGGTGAGACGGTATTTATAATCCCACATTTACGACCCCTAAAGACTTATCTGACTGCATGTGGGCCTCAAGTTGTTAAAGTTACTGCCTGCTGCAGCATTACGCTCAGAGAGCAAATCATTAGTGCAACGAGCGGGAGACCAACCACAGTTCAGTAATGAGCGCGCGTCTCACAAAAGCCGCTCACCTTTTACGGCGTTGCGGTTATTGGAGGGGGACATTTAATCAGATCTAATCCCTCAGACCAGCAGCGCCCCTGCAGATGCTATTTCTGGCCTTTTGCTTTGTGAATTCCGATAAAGAGGGCGACCTGCCTGGCGACAGTCGGCACTAACCTGAGTCCTCTCGCGGTATTATCCGCACTCGTGCACTGCACAGCATTTGCATATTGTGTTGTGTTGTATGTGACTTACGTCCAAACGCCGGAGCGAGGAGAAAGGACAGCAGGGCGACGCAGACAGGTGTGCAGGCCGAAGTCCATAGACGATTTCTGTTCAGGAATTACGGAGAAAATCCGTATTTAGCCATGCATCTAATTCTCTGTGACATTTCCTTTGAGTCCGAATCAATAAAACACTTCACATGAAGCACTTTGCTGGTGTCCTCCATGCACAGCATCCGCAAATTGAGTTTTGCTTTCCAGTGGGGAGAAAAGGTCAAATGGGACGACACAGTAAGTACATTCTGGAGGAATTTAACCAAAGTTAGTGAGCTAAACTGGTTCTTGATTCGTACTTCGTAGGCTTTGACCGTGGTTCCTTGACTCCGCCCATTCAGGTGTAACCCAACCAATCAGATCATTTCCCGAAGAAGGTGGATAATACACAGTGAAAGACATTTTACTGTTGTCCATTCGTTTCGTCTATCATTGGCCCACTCTGCCTGCACCAATGCAAACACACATGCGAATGTGTGTGTCTCTTAAATCCATCCTCAACATGACTGATGGTGAAATTAAGACTCCTTTCCAAAAGGAAAGGTTGCCACTCATCAATAAGAAAACTAATGAGAGAGGGGCTGTGTTACCGAGGCTGTAACCCATCTCCGGTGTGTGTGTGTGTGTGTGTGTGTGTGTGTGTGTGTGTGTGATTGTACTGTCAGATAGATGACTCATGGCCAAGCCACCGAGGTCTGGCCTCTAACACGCCGCCCTTCACGCCGAAGGAGGATCGGCTGCCCGCCGTTCACCGGACCCATCTGCGGTCTGGGCCGGAGCCGCCACGCGTCACTCACGAAATGTGACACGAGAGAAGCTTTCAATGTGTCACCCTTCAAACTCATCAAAGAGATATAACCGTCGGACGCTTTGGAATAAAAACATGAAGCTTGTGAAGATCGATAAGCCTTAAATGTCAAATATAGAGAAGCAGCCCGGACAGTTAGCTTAGCGCAGCGCAGCAGAGGTCAAACCCTCAGAAAAGCCACAGATTGTTATTTTCTTCTCCAAAGTTTTTGTACACATTTATGTAATCAAATGAAAATGTGAGTAATTGATGTCCTCGTTTAGTAGCTTTTAGCTAGCTTTTACCGTCATACCAAACTAAGCTCAGTCTTAATCATGCTCATTATTCATCAAGTCACATTTTATTGACGTTTTATCTCCACTAAAGGATCTCGTCGCGTAAACGTCCAGTGAGCTTCACACCTCTCATAACACTCACAGTCACACTCCAAAGCTTCAAAGAAAAGAACAAAATGAATCACGGAGAACAAAAGCAGTGCTCGTTCCTTCGGTACACACTTTAAGCATCAACCTGGCGGAAACAATTGTTGCTTGAAACGTGTCGCTTAGCAGATAAAGACACTGTTAAGCGGAGGTTTGCATGCGTAAAAAGACACAAGCCATTTACGGATTGAAGGATTAAGAGCTTTTAGAAGCGTCTCAATGAAGCCTTCAACCTGCGCGCACATTTTTACGCTGTCAAACATGCACCTACAGGACATCTGCAGCAACTTTACAAATGTCTTATCTGCATCCTGCAAGATCAAAGGTTTGTGTTTAAGATCTGTGGTTTCACACAGTTGTGATTTATGTGCGACCGCAGTTCAAAGTGAAGAAAAACCCGGTAAACAAATTCCGGTGAATATCAGTCAAAGTCAATTAGGTGATGACACGTCATCGTCTTCAATACCCTGCATTCATCAACATCTGATGGGACCTCCGCTGTGACGTCGCCCATAGGTGCTCCCAGAGTCGCAGACCGGCCCAGCGCTCCTGGCATGATTTCGGCACTCTCATTTGTCTTAATTACCCTGAATTGGATTCGCTGTTAAGAGGGAAGCAATCGGCTGAACAACAATGTGTCCTGTTGCAGAAAATGTGCAGACTTGGAGCAGTGTACGTGTGAAAGTCTTCCGGGATGATGGTCGTAGGCGTTAATGAAATGTAAATTCACTCATTCGAAGGAACTGAACTGAGTCATTGTGGAAATGTTTATGCAAATGTCCAACGTTGCGAAGATTGGACGCGGAAAGTCGATAAACCTACTGAATCAGGTCTGTCGTTGTAATGCAAATTACACAAAAGCTCAAAAAACATTCCACAATTCCACATGTGATATTTACCTCCTCAAACCAGATGTGGGGAAGGCCATGTTTCACTTCCCTCCTTGAGGGGAGACGGTCGGGCTCGGCGACGAGGAGCAAGCGGTGAGGTGCAGGAGCAGAAGGAGTCACGGACATGAGATCCCAGGAGTGTGTCCTACCTGCGCATGTTAAGGACTGGCAGGGAGAACGGGCTCAGGGGAAGCTCAAGCCTTCTTCTGAGGACACATAAAAATGTGCTCAATGGGTTCCCATTGGCCAGGAGCTCTTCGGGAGGTGGTGGCCACATTTTATTACCAACACTTAAAAAAAAAAAAAAAGGACGCAGGAGCCCACGGGCCCCCATATGTAACCCCCCCGCCCCGCTGCTTCTTTTCTTCATGGTGCCTCCTAATGACACGTGTGCCGTTCACTTCATAATTATCGTCCGGGTAGCGAAGAAGCTGCAGATGAAATGTGCATTTCATAATCGTGTGTACTCATCGGCGCAGGTGAAGAATGCATGTCGGTGTGTTGACACGAGGGAAGCCCTGTTTTTAACAGAAGGGCCTCGGGCAGACATGCTGGTCGTATCCTGTGTGTTATGTAATTGATTCTGTGGCGTTTGATCTGTGATTTTCGCTTCCCTTTGGAAGATCTGAGGGCCCGAATGGAGCTGCAAGAGGCCGAGTCCCTGAAGGAAGATCACATTAACTCAAATAGGAAAATACGTCTTTCGTCATTGCTGGGACTTTATATAACTTTGACGTTTCTCACAGGTACGAGTGTTGCTCAGCTGTGATGCCACTGACAGAAAGCCCTTTGCCTGTGGGTGCAGAACACTGAAAAATGTGTAATTTGTGGTGTGAAAGCACGAATGCACAACACATTTCTTAAAGGGAAGACAATTGTAAACTGAAATCCAAGAAGTACAAGAGCATGGACCAACTTTTATTAGGATGCACGCCGCGGAGCAAACTTAAGTATTTCTCCAATATCTTTATTTCATCTTTTATTATTAGTTTAATGATTCTCTCAGTTTGGATCAATAACTTGACAGTCAGCAGACACTGTGCAATTTACTACAAGCAATTACATTAAGGTCAAGCATCAAACATGTGTTACAGTATCACGTTGCATTAATTGATCGTTCTTGCAGCCACGGCGTGCAGAGGAAACACGACCCGTTGACCTCAGAGACCTCCGAGATCATGTGCCCTGTCCGCATAATGGCGAGCTCACGCTCTCAATGAGACATGCGATCATCCATCCACGCGGCGGGGGCCCCCGTGACCGTCACATGGCTGCCGCGGAGTGGCATACGCCGAGGCCCTCGAGTCAGAGGGACGGCTTGAGTCTGCGAAAACAACAGAGTGTTGTGATCACGGCGCAAGACTGCAAAGCCGAGCTCCGTTTCTACATCTAAATGTCAAATTCTCATGCTGTGTGCAGGGTTGGTAACTCCCGGCGTTTAAAAGTAGCCATGGTTGAATCGCAATGTGAGCAAATGGCGATGGTGGAGATTGTTGACCAACATCCTCCTCTACCGAATCGAATTAAAAGTATAACCGAGCACCCGAGAGATCTTAAACAGTCCTCTCTGTGTAACCTCTGAAATTCACACACTATGGTAATTTGTACTCTGGCAACGGTGGGAAAAAAAAAAAAGGAGGAAAAAGAATTGAATCGATTGAGCTTCTCTCTTAATCAAGAGTGCTCGCAGCTTATGGCAGAGCGCCACGAGAGAAAAGCAAAAATGAAGCTGGGAATAAAAGAGGAAAACTGGCGTCTTGCAAAAGTTCACTTGGGATCAGAGCCACAAGACGGTAAATAAATAATTTCCCTTTGCTGAGAACACGCGGTTACCAACAGCTAGACACTTTTATTCACTTGCAGTAACATCATCTCTACCTCCCTCTTATCTGATGGTTCAAACTGGACATTTTAATTGCAATAACTGAATGTCAGGAACAAATAAGAGATCGCTGGTGTGTAACCTTTGGAACTGGTCGTCTCTCTGTAAAAAGATATTTAACGCTCTCATTTCTTAGATCCTTCAAATGGTGAAACAAAAAGCATTCGTGAAAATATGTATGTTTATTTCTACTCCGTATGTATACATATTGCTCAGTTCAAGTAACTTCAATAAAAAAAAAGATAAATTGAATGCTCTTTTTGGCACGTTCGCTTTTAAAGAGACTGGGAGTTTAGACAAAGCAGCATTACGGGCATAGAATGAAGGCATAACGTTTCACATTGATACACGTCGTTTTGTAGGTGTTTATATTTGGTGCAACGTGCAACACCAAACGTGTCACATGGTGTTTGTGTGGACAAAGATCCACATCATTGCAAAATATATAAATGCATATCGATCCACCCGCCAAGCTGCCACATTGCATGCAAGTTCATGCGCGGTCTGCAGGACACGCATGCTTTGTGTCTCAGCCTGATAATTCCTGACCGCACGGTTCACTTCGGCGTTCAGGGGGGGCCAGAGCGTGACGTCACCATGCCCGCCGGACGCGTACTACGGTGCAGCAGCAGCAGGACGCGGACACCCCCATGACTATTAATATTCCCCCCCACCCGCCGTCGAAGTCCGCAGAGGGAGGACAAACACAGAGACAGATTCCGCGACAGACGCTGCCGCACTTTCCCAAATTGAAACCCCCGTCAGACGCAGGGAGGGAATTAAGAGAGAGAGAGGGTGAGAGAGAGGGAGGGAGGGAGGGGAGGGAGCGAAAGGGGGACTGCAGAACATACAGGCTCCGGATGAATAACCATGGCAACAGCAGCAGCAGGGGAAGCGGTGCTATAAACATTGTGAACCGCGCATCACCCAGTCGAGCCTGGAGCCGAAGCCTCTGCGGATATCGCGCTTCATCACTGCTAAGGTGAGGCTGTTTTGTCGGGTCCGCTGTGCGTGTGCGTGTGCGTGTGCGTGCTGTGCATGTGCGTGGTGTGCATGTGTGTGTCTGGGGGTCTTTGTCTGACACGATGAAGGCTGCGTCCTTGAGTAGGTAGAACACAGTGCACCGCACCGATCAGTTAACGGAGCAATTTAAATCAAAGTAAGCTTTCAAAATAAAAGCATTAAAAAAAATACTTATTGTGCTTCGAATGATGTTGATGAATGTAGTTTTGTTGAATATAGATTGAAATGTGGAATCATGCGCTTCTGCAGTTCTGCCTCTTCATGGCAAGCCTCCCAACGCTGCTGCACAGCGCAGTGTGTGCTGTTTATTATCAGTGATTCTTGGATGCTGTAGTCTGAAGCGAACAAAGCGGGTCTCCCACGTCCACATGAAACAATGCACATGTTGTGCTGCAAAAAACCCGGGTAGAAGTAAGTAAGAAATTACAGGTTGCTCACACCATGAAACTTGACTACTGGCCCCTGCATCTGCTTTGCTGATGTAAACATTTCACTGGAGCAGAAAGCATGTGGCATGCGTGTCATTTCAAACCAGTTCGCCGTCCAAAGTACTTTCCCCATTTGTACGTTTTGGACCAATTTGTATACTCACACACACACAGTGGCCAGCACTCAGTCATCATGCAGAGCACTGAATAGAAACATGAACCAGCAGCTCTCCAAACACTGCAAAGGACTTGTGGAGTAGTGGATGTAGGATTTTCCTGTGGGTTACTTTGTCTCTCCCACCACTCTCCCTTCTCCTTTCTTGCAGAACCGCTCTTTGATCTCAACAGAATCCCATTTGGAGATACCAAAGTCATGCACTGACTCATTTAACTTCATTCCACTTTTTGGTCCGCTTTTTTCGCAGGGATTATGCTTTGTCATTTTGACTACAAAGAGCCTAATACAGCATCGCTGAGGGTTTAAGCAAATGCTGGATTAATCTCTCACGTGATGACTGGCTCAGTGATGTCCGTTAGTGCACTCCACATCCACAACATCGGTTATGAATAGACGTTGTTTGATTTGCTGGGATTTTAATACCCTCAAAATACATCAAAACCTGGAGGGAAATTCTAACAGAATATTTCTGTCCATTTCATTGGTTGAAGCAGGTGCTGCAGCACAGTGGCGCTCGCTCTCGTCTCCCTTCCTTTGGTGACAGCCCAGTTTCTGTCATTGTCCTCTGCAGAGAGCGCGTTGGACGTTGATGAATGGAACAATGGCCGAGATTAATTTCCGGCCCTTTGAGCTGTGCACACACACACACACACACACGCGCGGCAGCTTGCACTTAAAGCACACAATCACACCCGCGTAGCCTATTCCGCATTTAGTCACTATGATGTTGCCTCCTTTCTCTCCAAATTGAGATTGGAGAAGTCACTCGGCATTCCCAACCGAGCTGACACCATTAGGAGTGCCTTTAGGGGGGGGGGGACTTGGTCTAAAGGGTTGAGGAATCACTGCAAGGAAGCCAGCATGTGTGCTAATGTGTATTGCATTAAATGCATTAAATAATAAGACAGCAGGTGGCTGTTTTGCAGTGGTTGGTGTTTAGTGATTTGCTGCAAGGACAAAATCTAACTGAGTACAACAAGGGTAAACCATCGGTATTGTAGGACAAAGGCTTTTATTGATCAACTGATTGATCAGTACTTGTGTATTCTTCTCAACCTTGATTGCTCAGCAGTCTTTCACGCAAACCGCAGCCTGAGAAAATGAGTTTAGCTGCTAAAACATTAAGAACGGCTCGGTTGCATCCATTCTGAAATAGATCAGACCGAAAAAGCTGCAGCATTCAGCATTCGGAGGATCGACCACCTGACAGGATGCAAAGCCGCTGGAGTAACGTCTACCTGAGCAGCCCCACTCCCTGCTCACGGCTGCTCGCTGAGCTCATGGCGGTTGTCAACATTAACAGCGTTGTCATGGAAGCACAGCAGATAAGAGTTTTTTTGTTCAACCTGTAGCTTTATCTTATGGATCGACATCATGGCTGCTGGTATCAGCCCCCAGAAAGGTTATTAATAGTGAAATGAAGTGCGAGGCTGCAGGTGATGCACATTATTCCTTCTCCGTCAACAAAGAATCGATCTGATTGACGAAGCGTCGTTCGAGTGGCCCAGTGCGTCTTTTAGAATGAGCAGAGAGGCTTAATGCCTTAAAACAGAGAACACGTTCATTGGGAACAGAACGAGTGAATCCTAGATGCGACCGCTCGGAGCATCGCGGGGATGCTTTGAAGCTGTCGGCGTGGGTGTTTTCATCCGTGCCTCTTATTTGATCAGGTTATTGATG